TGTTGATAGCACGATGGCTAAGCTCCCAAAGGAAAATTTTCACTTTTTTAGGATAAGTGTCTCTCCAAATGCCCTCGTACAATCGCTGTGGGGTATTCGTGCAAGGCCGTGAGAGATCGTTAATAAGAGAGAGATCCAAGAATAAGCTTGATTCATCTAAAACTTCATTGATTAAGTTCCTTCTTTTTAACTTCAGAATATTTGGTGTGACGCAGCTAACTTGCTTCCAAATCTTGAAGGTCTCATATAGAAAATATTGCTGATTAAATTTCAAGGGGAAAACATACACGCACACACACAGTGTCTAGATGACTCTGTAGGTCTCGATCCTCTTGTTAGAAACAAGCCAAGCAAAGAACTTCACCTTCTTTGAAATGCAAAATTTCCATAGCTCTGTGAAGAAAGGATGGCAAGTGGAGATTTTCCATGCAAATTGTCATTCTTTGTTCTTGCAACACTGGAAAGCATTTTTATGCACATTTATTATTGGGTTTGGTGGAATTCTGTATATGCTCTCCCCTGCTTCTAGTATTCTCTTCGGGTTGTTGTGTTGTTTCTAAATTTAAGAAGTTTTTTGTCAGTCAAAGAAATTATTATTTATTTTTGATGAGAAACATGAAAATTTTGTTTCTTGTTAAAAAAAAGAATGTATGAAAAGTACAAGGTGGGGGAAGCAAAAAAACACTCTCCGAAATTTAGGAACTCTCAAAAACCTGCTCTATGAGGAATTAATTTGAAAAGATGTATAGTCTATAAAACGAGCTTGGGCAAAGTACTCCATGAGGATGCCATAAACTTAGATACCTATTCTGATTGGAAAAAAACTTAGCTACCTACCAATTTCTCATAATAGAGCTAACCAACCAAACAAATTGAGGCAGCAATGGACAAACACGTAAAGTTGGGTCTTCCCATTTGCATAACAAAGAAAGAACACAGCCTGCTTTAACCATCATTTTAGGAAACCACTTCTCAAACATCTCCTCAATCCACCTCTTTCGGAGCAGAAACATACTTTGTGGCTTCTTTCCAGTGCTGCTATTTGCTGGGTAATATGGATCGAATGGAATAGGCACATCTTCTGTGACATAGAGTGCCCTAGTGACAAGCTTATGGAAAACATCTCTTATTTAACGGCTTTGTGGGCTCCTAAAACACTTTTTCCTTTTATCATGCTTCTAATGAATTAGCGAGGGTACTTATAAGCTCCTTTTGCTTGTACTCATTTGCTTCATCAATACATTTCGCTTAGTGTTTTATCAAAAAGAAAAAAAAATGTTGACTCCACTGATGATCAAGGTCCATAAAACTTCAATGATTATTGTAATGGTGGCAAACTTCAATGGCCCCCTCCTTTTCTCTTTTGTAGGCCTATGAAAGTTTTTCAAGTTTTAGCTTGTAAATGATGATGGAATTTTGAAGCATGTCTTCCTATATTGGCTTCTTTATGACTTTGCACAGCCTTAAAAATACAACTAGGTGATTGTAGCGTTACTAATATCTTTGAGATCCTTGTGCTATTGAATTTAACTTGTTAATTGATTTTTATGAAAGTTTTTGTTATATTATTTTAATGGATATCTTGATTTTTAAGAGAGACATTTTATTACAATCTGGCAGGGTGCAAGTCAACTTTGGACAGAAGCCATTTGCTTTTGATCTCAAGGTCAGTTTCTGGACTTCCATCCTATCAACTATCAGTTTCCCTCAGTGATAGTCCGTGGATCTTATATCCATGACCATTCTTGAGAGGAAGACAATATGTCTCAAGTAGTTCTCCCATGTCTTGCTTAAAACAATTCCATTTCCAGCACTGAACCCACGTACGTTATAACCATTAATACAATATCCATATAGTCTCAGTTTTATTTTCTCCCAATCATGGGTATTTGGGTGGATCTTTGTAAGGGACTAATCCTAATAGTCCATACTTCCTTATAGCTGGGGGCACTGCGCCCGCCCTAAGGCCCGAACTCGGGAGACATCAAAGATATTTGATATTAAGCTAACCCTAATAGTCCATTATACTGCTGGTTTTACTTTAGTTGCCAAAATTCATATTTCCTCTTTATGACTTGTCTCATCCTGCTATTATAGCAAATACTTAACCTTTTTTTACAAAAGAAAATCCAATCTGCTTAGAGTTACAAACCTTGCTGTTTATAAAAATTCAAATTTCTTAAGATTTAAAATGTTTATGTATTTTAATTTTTTCCTCTGAAATTGGGTGGTCCATCTTTTTCCGCAGAAGTTTGGCTTTTGTGGATTAATTCCATTAAAGCCTTACTTTATGTGTTTTGGTTCGGAAGAAACAAGAGGATTTTCGGAGGAATTCTCGAAGAGTTCCGAAGGAGTGTCTTAGCCTTGTTAAGTTTGAAGTTTCTCATTGGTGTTCACTCTCAAATTTATTTGTTAATTACTCTCCTAGCATGATTTGTTCCAATTAGGAGGCATTTATAACTTCCCTCTAGCTTTATTGCTGATCAGTTTTCTCATTTCTTTTTTGCATTTTCGCTCTTACGGGAGTTTGTATCTTTAATAGTTTTTTCCTTTTCATTCATTACTTGAAAAGTTTGTATCGTGTTCAAAATTTTTTTTTCCCTAGAATGGTTTGAAGTTTTTCATTTCTTCAATGGTTGTATGTCACTCATAGTGAAGCCGGACTATAGTTTGGCAACCTTTATGAACATAAAAATATACATTATATTGTTAGGCAAGATATCATTTTAATAAACACTTTGTGGAAGTTCCTCCTGTAGTTATAATTCTGGGATGTGCTGAATTGTAGAAGTTACAGAAACAAGAATTATGCTCCCAACAAATTTTTATGAGTTCAAATTGTTGTTGTGTTGTGTTGTAAGGGCATGTGGCAGTAGTATCTAAACGTGGTGATGGGCAACCGAAATGCAAAGTGATGTTTTTCCTGTGTTGGTTTGTTGTTCTTAGGTATTTGAAGCACAAGAGAGGATGAAGCAACAAGCCACAATTGAGAAGTTATCTTTGCCATCAAATGTTAGTTATAGGTAAATAAAATTCTTTCAAATATCCCAAAATCCTGACCCTTCTATAATTTACCAAGTTTGACATTGTAGAGTAACCATTTGACTATACAACATTTGGTGGAATATGTTTAATATTTGGGAGATTCATGAGTAGTTGATTGAAGGTTATATCAGTTAATTGTTGCTAGTATCAGGGCACCTATAGGCTTTTCATGAGCCTCACCAATTCACCAACTCCTAATTGTTTTATAAATTTTTGAGTTGATGTTGTTATTGATAAAATAATTGACGGTATATAATTGTTGTTTCCATGTGAAAAGCTATGAGATTGATTCAATATATGATAACCTTCCGGCTTCCATTATCCAGAAGCCACCTAACTAGCATGTACTGTTGATATACGTACATACATATATATATGATTTATGTAAGCATGAATGTAAGGAAGAGACATTTCATTGTGAATGACAATAGTACAGAAAAGGCAGCTGGATATATCTTGAATCAGGGATGGGCTTTTACTCATACATATTCATAAATCACTTGTGTTATTACTTTGTTTCATGTCAGAAAAGAGTGTACATGATCTGATTGCAGACACCTTTTGTTTTCTTTTTACCAGAATAGTGCGCTCATACTTACAACATTATGGTTATGAGGACACGCTCAATGCGTTTGATATGGCTTGCAAAAGCACCGTTCCTCCTATCTATATAGCTCAGGAAAGTGGCTTTGATGAGCAAGATATCATGTATGCTCTGAACCATAGAAAGACTCTAAGACAGGTATGATTTATTTCACCATAGATTGCTGTGATTCAGGATTTGTGAATTAGAATTTGTTCTTCATTTGTGGAGCTTTCCATTTATTTACCTTTTTTTCTCCATAAATTTGTGTAAGATTGTCAGAATGTGTCTATATCCTTGTGTTCTAATGTTTTCTTGCTCTGCTTTTCGAAACATCGTTGGTTGAATATTTTATCCGTGTGTTTGTCTCATCACCTTCTGAATTCAATCGAATTAAATAAGATTTAAAGGTAGTTCATTGTCAAAAGTTCAAAACCGATATTTATGAAGATGTGGAGCGATTTCCATTAGTTCTGTAATTTTTCTTCACCTCCAGAATTAACTTAACTGAGAGTTTGAGACAGTATTAGCAACATGTATGAGGATGTGAACACGTTTTCCAAGAATTACTTCAAAAACCATAGAAGGATTGTGAATACAGGAGTTGATGGTAGAGTTGAGGATCATATGATTAAATAAAGGAGTTGAGCATTGTTATCGGACCTGGATGCCCACTGTAAAAGGTGCAAAAAGAAAAGACAAAGTATCGCTTAAAACTGGAAACAAATAAATTCTTGTTAGTAAAAAAAAAAAAAAAAAATCTGTTTTCCTTTGCCTACAATGTGTGCCTGCTCATAACGTAAATCTATCAGCTGGTATAAAACTTTGTTTTTGATCAGTTTCTTTCTGTCAATGAAGCTCATCAGGAAGGGGGAGATTGATGCTGCACTTGGAAATCTCAGTGAATGGTATCCGCAGATTGTTCAGGTGAACCATTGTTTAATTCATTTTTTCACATTTATTTTATCATCTGCTAAACTCATAATACCAACTATGTATGATTCCAAAAACTGTAGGTTAAGATTTAAAATCCATAACTTGTTCGTCAAGGGGATAGCCCATGTCTGATTCTTAAAAGCTTTAGTGTTCTAGCATCATTATTATGAGTTTTCTGGCTACAAGTTTAGGGTTCTTTTGCTTGTAATCTTGTCTTGTATTGTAAACCCTAATCAACACTGATCAGTCATGGATGAATCAATTATTATGTTCATTATGCCGTAGTGGTTGTATTTTTTCTTCCTCTTTCTATTTATTCACCCTTTCCAGTTTTCTCGTCCATTGGGTCTTTTCTTTTATTTTGGTGTTGTGGGGACGTTGGGTAACCTTATAAAGCCAACACCAGTTTAGAAATTCTAGAGTTGTACTCGAAGCAGTTGTTTTCTAGTATGCTCAGAAGGTACAGAAATTCAGATTCAAGTTAGTGCTCATAGAAGGTTACTCTTCCTCGAAATATAAAATTCTTTCTTGAGTTTTGGTTAGATATAGATTTCCCTTTAAAATGAAGCTAAAGATACACCTTTTTCCCTTAAAAAGGAGGTTGATTTACTTTCTGGAAATTAGAAACAAATGGCATCTTTTCTACCAGCTCTCTCATCAAAGACCTCACACAACATAGTCTGGATCCCACACCCATGACTCTTTGAAGTTATTTGGAAAGACTCCTATCCGGAAAAGGTGTAAATTTTTCTTTGGGAACTCAACCACCAAGCTATCAACACTTGTGAAAAACTCCAAAGAAGGCTGCCCTACCTGGCTCTCTCTCCCCAGTGGTGCGTGATCTGGCAGTCCAACCTGGAGACACAACAACACCTTTTTGTCAATTGTCAATATGCAGCCGAATTTTGGAATTTCATCCGAAGCACCTTTGGATGGTCCACTGTCTTGCCAATCGATCCACCACTTTTCCTAGAAGCTACCTTTGCAAGCCACCCATTTAACAAGGAAAAGAAGCATCTCTGGCTGAACTTCATTCAAGCTTTCTTTTGGATCACATGGAGAGAAAGAAACTCTCCCATATGACAGACTTTTAGATGCTATTGTCGTAGTTATTACTTGGTGTAAATGCTCTTCATTGTTTCATCACTATAGCTACACTCCCCTTTTAGCCAATTGTAAGTACTTCATGTAGTCCCCTGAACAGCGCTTTTGTAAATTCATGTCATCAATGAAATTGTTTTCTTTCGCAAAAAAAGAAAAAAGAAAAAAAAAATTTGTTCCTTTTTATTCATCCATGAAAAGTTCATTTCTTGTTGAGAAAAAAAAAAGATCAACCATGATGCTGTTATTAGTCTCACCGTCAATACCATAATGGATTCCTGTGAGCCTCAAGTGATACGAAGAGCAGTAGAAGTGTTGTCTCTTTGCTCGGAAGTAAAAGACTGATAGGAATAGCTTCCTTCATATTATCTTCATACCTATAATAATAAATATCAACTGCCAATTCTTTTACATGCCTGACAGATTGGGCTTGAGCCGTGACCTCTTCCTCCTTCTCTACAACAGAGATAGTCTGTAGTTTGCCCTATTGTTTCTCGTCTGATTAGGTTGGTAATGCTTGATCGAATTTGCTTGCTGTGAGCCAAATTAATTGAGGATTGGTTGATGATTAAACCTAGGAAATGCCACTTGAGTGGCTTGTTAAGGTCCCATCTACCCCAAAAGCTTACGGCATGTTTAGGAGTGATTTTAGTAAAAGTGATTTTTTTTATAACAAGAAACAAACCATCCAGTAAAAGAACAAGAAACCAAACCAATGCAGAAAAAGTTCCAAAAAAAAAAAAAAGCAAAATACAACATTGATGAACAAGGCATCCAAGGGAGAAACAAATAGAAAAATTATCCCAAAAGTGAAACCACATGAGAATTCCAGCAAGAGTGGCTGCTACAACTCCCTGCAAAGCTGCATTAGTGAGCTAACAAATACATGGGAACCTGTTCCACGAAATGGTATGCCAAATAACCTCCCAGCTGCAACATTGCTTGTTGCAACAAACCCTTCAATATAGCTGAACTATAATGTGCTAATTCCACCATCAGGTCCCTGAGCTCGCCGAAGACCAAACTCAAGAAGAATTTTATAGCTCTAGCCACAAGTTGATGAATAGTGGCATTTGGAGCAACTAAAGATACATAACTGATAAGATTTACAAATGGATTCCAGTAGCACTACAGCAACTGCCCCTACAACCCTCCTTTGAAAAAACAACTGATCCCTTCAAGGACCACGATAACTAGCTGATTTTAACCAATATTGTGCCATTAAAATGCCTCAAGACCATGAATACTAGCAGCTACCTGCTGCCAAAGAGATGAAGGTTCATGAAAAAACTTCCCAGGACTACCTTTAACCACTGATTCAATGGAAATCTCATAGCCCATATGGTCACAACCTGGGCCACACCCCCCCTGGTGATTCAACACCATCTTTGAATAGATCCTTGTCGACATATCATTTTGGTTGTCAGTGTTGGTGGTTATTCCGCAGGTTAATTCATATTCTTTCTAGTGTTATAATGTTGCATCATATGATCTGTCATTTCTATTTACTTGATTATGGGGTTTCTGTTTCTTTTCTCTTCCATATTGCCAAATATATATCCAAGAATTTGCATTTTGGATCGAATGAGTTTGGTTTTTCATTTCCTTGTATCCTAGTTTGATCAAGTTGACTATAATAATCTTGCATAAATCTATCATTTATGAAGTCCTTGTAACAAGTTTGCTTTTTGCAGGATGAAAAATCAGCTACTTGCTTTCTCCTTCATTGTCAAAAATTCATCGAATTAGTCAGGGTACTTTTCTCGTTCTAGAAGTATATAAATGTCACGTGTTTTTAAATTGTAGTGTAATATTTGGATTGTTTTTGAGTCTCGTGCTGTTATTATTGTAGGTTGGAGCCCTAGAGGAGGCTGTTAAATATGGAAGAAATCAATTGGCAAAATTTTATGGTCTGCCCGGGTTTCAGGACCTAGTTCAGGTATTTAGATTTCTCTTCCTTAATTTTAGGAAGTATGGAAGCATTTAGTACATGTCACAATTCCTCTTGCATCATTCATGTTCAAGTGCCATTTACATGCTTACTTTTTTTATGCCAAGATTTTTTAGGATAAAAATGTTTGTATGTTGATTGCAAAGGTGCTGTCAGTAAGTAAACAAGATTGCTTTTTCCTGGTTAGGAAGATGTGATTTAGAATTTAGATAATACATTCAGAATCATAATGATATTGTTTGGATTGAGGTTTAAACAAAAGTGCCAGAGTTTTCATTAAGGAAAAACTGCAGAAGTTCTAAGTAGAAGTTCTGATCAGAAATGATTCCCCTCTTTAAATTGACTTAAAATTTTTATCTGTTTTTAACAAATAGTTGTATCCCATCAAGATATATGTATAAGGGAATGAGTGGGTGGGTTGGGTCCAAACATAATGGAGAAACAAGGTAGATTGTAGAACCAACTCTAGTTGATAAAAGTATTAGGAGTGATTCCGATGTCCTTGTATTTAATTTATGTTTCGGAAGAATGATCTACCTGAGTTTTGTAAAATAACTTCGTATGTTATTTTCATTCAAATTCATTAAGAAGTATTATGCCATAATGTTAAATCCTTGAAGTCACTTGTAATATAATACACTAGAGTATAACCTATCTGTTCAGGATTCATATTCTTCGATTGCGATAGGTTACATGTGTATGTACTTCTGGTGATTCTGTCCATATGGATTATAAGATCCTGTAACTAATCAATTGAACCACTTTTCCCAGGACTCTGTTGCTTTGCTGGCCTATGAACGACCTCAAGAGTCCCCCGTTGGTTATCTTCTTGAGGATACGCAGCGCGAAATTGTAGCTGACACGGTGAATGCCATGGTCTTATCAACTAATCCGAATGTGAAAGATTTGCAAGGTTGCTTGCATCCGTATCTCGAACGGTTACTCCGGCAGCTGACTGCTTGCTGCTTGGTAAGAAGGTCTTTGAATGGGGATCAAGGTGAGGCATTCCAACTGCACAGAGTGCTTAACAGCAGTAAAAAGGCCAAGTGCTAGTTGCCTGGTCACGACCTTTATGTTCTGTGCCTGAAAATACTGTGTCTAATAGGGGTCCCATTAGTGTTTCATTTCTTTAGGAAATTGGGTTCTCTCTGTGTATGGCCTGTAATCCTGTAAAGTCAGTACTATACTTTGTATGAAATTTATATGAACTATAAACTTGGATGAGAGGTTCAATGAAATTCTTATAAATGCACATCTATTGCAGCATGTTTTGTTAACAAATCAATTGGGTAAAGGGATTAGTGAGAGAAATAAAACAATGATGGTTTACTGCTTTGCTTGCTGTCTAAACAGTGATAATATGACCACTGAGCTGCTAAAATTCAAAAGTTAAAAAGGCTGATTTTGAAAATTAAGCTTATTTTTGTACAATTTAATTGGTTCGATTTTCACCTCTCGAAAACAACAAAAATGAAAAATGAAATGGGTTTAAATTTTTCACTTTTCAAGAAATTAGCATTATATTGAGTTTGAATTATACTATTTTTGTAAAATTTTAAATGTTCATATATTTATTTTATGTTATTTGCTTCCTTTTTCATTTTAAAAAAGGTTTAAATGCTATTTCGTTTTCAGTTTTTTAGTTTTTTTTTTATTTGGTCTGTATRCTCTCAAAATGTCAATTTTAGTTCTTGTACTTTCAATTTTTGTCGATTTTAATTTCTATATTTTGAAATGTCAATTTTAGTCTCTTTACTTTTGAAAAGTGACAGTTTCGTCAATTCGTTGTATTTTGATCTTATTTTTCAATCGCGATTTCATCAAGATGTTGCATTTAATGAATTTATATTTCTTGAAATATAGTCATAGTTTGAATTTCTATTGTGTATACATTTTTTGTTAAAATTCTACAAACAAACACTAAAATATCACTTGTAAAAGTATTCCAACAATAAAATGAACATTTTGAAAGGCGTAAAAAAAAAAAAGGAGAATACTTGATTCTTCGTCGGTAAGTACCATTAAAAAATGACGTGTATTCCAAGCAAAGTAGTATCAAAACATGGTAAATGATTTCAAATGTTTTAGATCCTGCTGGCTGCTACTTTTTTCTTCTTCTTAGTCTGTCTCACTTTATTTTTCAACACCACCGAACGGCGTATGGAAGAATTTGTTTCCTTAGAAAAAACAACAAAATTTATCGCCGTAAGCTCCAATCAAATCCCATATATATTTCTTGTTCAAGCTCAGAGTTTTGTGCTGCTGTTTCTGAGTTACGAGTTTGGATAAAAATATATTTATATAATAGGTAACTTTTTTCCAAACTTGGTGTGTTGCGTAATCTTTGGATATTATGCGTTTTATTCGATCTTTTTACGTGTAAAGAAATATGAACAGGCATGCAAAGACAACATCCATATTCATGGGGAAGTTAATTAATTTATGACGTAGATGTACCTACTCCCCTTGTTTTCCCTTGCATCAGCTGCTGTCGTGTCCCCATCAGATCCACGTGGCAATCAAAACTCAACTCGCATCCTCTACACGCCATCTGTGGAAAATCTATCTGATCTATGAATCATTAAATGTTTGACGACTTGCTATTTTCTTAAAAATTTTGTTTTTACAATTTTCTGTTTTAGTTGTCAAACATTCAACAGCGATTAGTATAAGATAGATCCTTGTAGGTAAGTACCGAAATATCTTTTGGAAAATATTTAGCTCCTTAATAGTAAAAGCAATATTGTCTTCGACAATTGAAGGAGGGATGAAAAAACAGAGACATTTTATAAAAATTAACGGATTGTCAATTTTTTAATGGTGATGAGAGCACTTGATCATCACCGTTCAGGAGCGAAGTATTTTCTATGCTACAAACCACCATTAAATGTTCGACGACAACTCGTTATTTTTTAAAAAGAAGTCTTCGTTTCTACATTTCTCTGTCCGGGTAGTCAAACATTCAATATTTACTTCTCATATATTGACCAACTCAAAACTCCAAACTCCAACACCAACCACCTAATCCGTCTATATATGGACGTAGGTGCAGTTCAAAACTTTGTAGCAAAGTGAAAATACCAAACAATGGCAGAACATGGCATGGCGGCCATTACTGGCGTGGCTCTCAGCTTCCTGCTCATCCTCCTCCTTCGGCCAACTCATTGCAATGGTAATGGAGACCCTCCAATCCCGAAATCAGATGTTGATCTCATAGAATTCCCACTCAACTTAGAGTATTTGGAAGCTGAATTCTTCTTGTATGCCTCTCTCGGATATGGCCTGGATAAAGTAGATCCAAATCTAACCATGGGAGGCCCTCCCCCTATTGGTGCTAGAAGGGCCAAATTGAGCCCTTTCGTCAGGGATATCATACTCCAATTTGCCTACCAGGAAGTTGGTCACGTGAGGTACGTTTTGGTTTTAAGATGCAACGACATGTACTTTTTCGACTTATTTCTCGTCATATGTTACTCACGCAGGGCAATTAAAGCTACGGTGAAGGGGTTTCCAAGACCGTTGATGGACTTGAGTTCAAAGTCGTTTGCCAAAGTGATGGATCTTGCTTTTGGGCGTCCCTTGGACCCACCTTTTGACCCTTACGCTAATACCTTGAATTACCTTCTCGCATCATACTTGATTCCTTATGTTGGACTCACGGGCTATGTTGGAGCAAATCCAAATCTTGAATCTCCTCGTCCCAAGGAGGTATTCTCTTAAATTTAAATCTAAGTTTAGACATCATCACATGATATAAAAAACTGAACGGTCTTACCCATCAAGACCTATCTTGTCCTACCACCACTGAATATTTGACAATTAAGAAAGAGAAATATAACTATCAATTTTTCAACGGTGGTCAGAGTGGTCAGAGTGGAGATTAGGTCCCTAAACTAACTACAATTCTACAAACCAATGTATTAGCTCGTTGCAGGTCTTCTGGGAGTTGAGTCGGGTCAAGACGCAATGATTCGAGCACTACTTTACGAACATGCAGCGAAGAAAGTCGAACCATATGGAGTGACAGTGGGCGAGTTCACGCAGCTGATTTCAAATTTGCGGGATAAGCTAGGCTGTGGAGGCGTAAAAGACGAAGGCATTGTGGTACCAAAAGAAGAGGGTGCTGAGGGTAAGATTTCAGGCAATGTGCTTGCTGGAGATCAGTACTCACTCTCATATGGAAGAACTCCTGAAGAGATTCTGAGAATTGTGTATGGTACGGGTGATGAGCATTTTCCTGGGGGTTTCTATCCAAAGGGAGCTCATGGCCGCATTGCAAAATCCTACTCGTGAACCATGTCATTAACCAAATATGGTGTTGTAATTGTCTCATATTTCTATATCATCAATAAAAAGGATTTTCGAGACTTAATTAGGATTTACATAATTTATGTTCAGTGAATGAATCTGCGTTTTCAACCGTCATGGATAGCTCATTCATTCAAAAGGACTTAAGCTAAATTGGGAGGGAATTGGTTTAAACCCCACGATGACCACCTACCTTATAAATTAATTGTCATTGCCATCCATTTTGGCATTATAGAGACCAAATTATAAGTATGCCACCAAATTAAAAGTATTTTGTCAATCAAAACCATGGCTATAATTTAAATAAATTAGTAAGGAGCAGTAAGTAATTGTGAAGATAGCTCTACCAAACCTAAGTATTTTGTTAACTGTGATCTACATTAAGAAAGTCACTTTTAGACTTAAAGTGACTCATTTACTATTTAGAGGAGGGACCAGGTTTGTAACTTAACTAAATAATAATAATAAAATAACACCCCGACCCCAAATGAAAGTGAAGCGGAAGCATAGTCGATGTCAACATGAGCATAATAATTTTAATATCTCATTCTTTTTTCAGAGGTCTTAAGTTCAAATCTCAGTATGAAACAATGTCGTACTCCGAAGTATATATATATTATTTGTAATATATATATAACAAATAAGTAGCAGAAATAGGGTGTTCATCATCACCAAGTTGGCGCGAATTTGACCACATTTCCCGCTCCCTTCTACTTCGTATGAATCAATCCTCGACTGCAATTTGAATACGATCAACGCCGGAGGTGGCAGCTCTTTGAAGATCTGCGATTTGGAACCAACAAATAACTCATTTCTCATGCCTGCCTAAGCCGATCCTCATCTTCATCTTCATCAATTATGTTGAGAGGACGAGAAAGTTTGGTCCGCTTGATTGGAAAACGGCGGCGCTTCCTTCCTAATCGCCTAGCTCTTCTCTCCTCTCCCGTCGAGGCAACCGCTCATCTCCCTTTTTCTTCTGATTGCCTTTTAAATTCTTTCTCCACTGTTGGCTTATACGTCTCTTTGTTTGGATTTTATAGAGCTCTTTAAATCTCTGCGCTGATGAAGATTCCAAGCCCCTTCCGGTTGAGACGATTCTGGACGCTCATAAAGATGGGGACATTGGAACCAGTGATTCTGGGAAATATGTTACTTGCCCAGTTTGCAGCAGCAGAGTAAATGGGGAAGATTCCATTATCAACTCCCATCTGGGTATTATTCTATTAACCCTATTCTAGTAACTTTTGTCTATTATTCAATTATACAATCTCATCCCTGGCGATCCATTAGAGAGGAATTGGAAGCTTTAAGGGATTTCAATGTGCATCAAGTCGTCTATGGAATCAACTTTTCTAACTGCTATATTAATTTAATTATTTATCTTTTGATTTTTATAATGTCTGGACTTTGTGGTTTCCAGATGCATGCTTATCTAGGGGAACGAAGCGGAAGTTGACACAGAGCACTCTTCTTCAATTAAACTTCTCTCCTCGATCAAAAGTTAAGCATCAATCTTGTGTTCTGAAATTAGAGAAAAATGAGTCTTCTGCAGATCCTGATGACGATCTAATGGAAAGTGTTGTCCACAGACTGCCTACAAATGCCTCTCATAATGAAAGTAGTGACAAAATTCTGTGTGAATCATTAGTAGAATGTGTAGAGCAGCGACAGAGGGACTGTCTATTGGATACCCCAGATAATAGTGAAAGAACTAATGGTGCTACAGAAATTTGTTCTCCCAAGAATAAAGGAATTACATCTGAGATCGTTACTGACAAGGATGATTTATCTGGGGTGATTCTTGAAACTTATATTGTTGGTCGTAAGTTTAGTGATGAAAAGGAGTTAAATCTTGGGGCAAACATCTCTCTTGAAAGAGATCCTACCAATGTAAAGGATCCCAATGCCATCAAGGTTCATTTCTTCTGATTTTTTTTCCTCTTACATTAATGATGGAAATGTTTGAACTCTAATTTACTTGCTAAATAGAAGGTTTCAGGAGATTGGCTACTTAGACACAGAAGCATTTCTATTTACTAACAGTGTAACCCTTTACTAGTATCAACTATTTTTTTGAACAAGATACAATATAATGGGTATAAACTGTTGTAACTTGTAAGTGCATCCTATTAAAACTTCAAGTATTTTCGTACTATAACACACTTGTACTAGAAAATAATGAATGAATGAACCATGAAAACTCCTAGCAAGAAATTTTGAAATCTGCAAATGGAAAGTAAACCCAGCAGGGGAACCAAAAAAAAGAGAGATTCAAACTCCTTGCTGGAAAATTTCTGAATTAATACTCGGGTCCATTTGGTATGTAGATATCATCCACTTCTGACTCGATGCATGTTAAAACTTTTGGTCATTATATCAGCTAGTTGTTCCCTGTTTGAACATAAGGTATTACAACCTCAGCCTCAAACATATATCGTGACATTATATTGTGAGCAGGCCATGAGTATGAGAACGTGTAAAGATGACACATGACGGGCCAATGACGAGCCAAATTCAGTCATTTGACCAAGAAAGTTTACACCCCACAAGGGGAATGACTCTTCATTTCTTTTGATGTGCTAGTGTCTGAAAATGTAGTAAGGGGGATGGCATTAGCCTCCCTGTTAGCATGTAATATGACATGAGTTCCTGGTAGCATGTAACATGCCATGATGTGAGCAAGAGATATGGAACGAATAAGGTTCTTTTCTGATGGTAGTTGGAATTATTTTGCAGTGTTATAAGTGTGTCAGTGTTGCACCTTAGGGTTTGTATAGTCTATGGATAATGCCCTGGGTTGTTTAAGATAATGCATTCTCATTATTATACTTCTTACTTATTCCCTGGCCATAATCCTTTGATAAAAACCAAAGATAATGTCTTTTTAAACCCTATTAGGCTGGGGAAGTCCAACTCAATTCTTGGTATAGCTGTTTTTCTTGATCGAGAGAATTTCCTTAGGGGTCATATAGAAATATACCCTTGGCTGATTTCTGGCTCCATATACTGATAGAACTCTGCTTCTATTATTTATGTATTAGAGCAATTACAGGGTTGAGGGAGATTTGAGAGCTCCCTGATCTCTCCTATCCAAACCTTCAATGAGGCAAAAACTACCAAAAAGATACCCCTCCCTCTACCACAGCAGAACATATATAACTAACTCTCTTCACTGCCCAAACACCCCATAACAAACTGGGGCCCACAAAACAAAATTCCCTCTTTACCCTACTCATCACTCCTAACCTTTTTCCTACTGTACCTTTTAGTAATCGGGGGTCTATCACTACCCGCCGCCCAAAAAGTCACCTTGTCCTCAAGGTGAAAGGTTGGAAACTGCCTTTTAATAGTCTCTGAGGACTCCCATGTAGCATCTTCAACGGTACCGCCTTCCCAACGAATCAGCACGTCGTGTCCCGTAGGTGGCTCCAAACGAGTACGGATCCCCAGCACTTCTACCGGTTGAGGTGGCGCTACGCCATCCTCCTGGGTGTTACGTGGCAATGGAATGACCGGAAAAGTAGTACCAACCGCCTTTCGGAGTTGGGACACATGGAACACCGGATGAATAGTCGCCCAAACTGGTAATGCCAACTTATAAGCAACGGGACCGATGCGTTCCAGTATGCGGAAAGGCCCCACAAATCTTGGAGCTAGCTGGACATTGGAATTGGAATGGAGGCTATGCTGTCTATAAGGCCTTAGTTTCAAATAAGTCCAATCCCCCACTGCGAGCACGACATCACGACGCTTTGTATTCGACTGAGCACTCATGCGTTGTTGGGCCACCAACAAGTGAACTTTCAATTGACGTAACATAGTATCCCGATCCTGTAACTGCTGGTCAACCGCCGAAACTGGGGAAGAACTAGGCTCATACGACAAAACTGGCGGTGGTGGGCGACCATAGACAGCCTCAAAAGGGGTGGTCTTTGTAGCCGTGTGAAAAGCAATATTATAGCTAAATTCTGCCCACGCAAGCCACTGTGCCCATTTGGTGGGTGTGGTCATGGTGAAACAACGTAGATATGTCTCGAAGCATCGATTGACCACCTCCGTTTGGCCGTCGGTTTGTGGGTGATAGGCCGTGCTCCGACGAAGTTGTGTCCCTACACAACAAAATAACTCTTCCCAAAAAAGACTCGTAAAAATTTTATCTCGATCAGAAATGATGCTCCGAGGTATCCCATGGAGACGCACAATCTCCTTCACAAAAAGGTGGGCCACCGAAACTGCTGTGAAGGGGTGTTTCAAGGGTATAAAATGGCCATATCTCGTCAACCAATCTACAACCACCAGGATAGAATTAAAACCATCGGATTTGGGTAGGCCTTCCACGAAATCCATCGAGATGTCTTCCCAAATTCGGTCCGGAACGGGTAGAGGTTGCAGTAACCCAGCAGGGGCTAAGGAAAGGTATTTGGCTTGCTGACAGATTGTACATTCTGCACAAAAACGCTGAACAGCTTGACGCATACCCGGCCAATAAACCTCCCTACTGATGCGGGCCATAGTCTTGAGGAAACCCATGTGACCCCCACTGGAGAGTTATGAAATTCCCTTAATAAAAGTGGAATAGACGGGGAAGATGAGGAAATTACTAACCGGCCATGGAAGAGCAGGTTGCCATTCCTTAAGGAATATCCTGCCATTGTTGGTTGATCAGCCTGCAGAGCTGTGACGACCTTGGATAATTCAGCATCGTCCCGAATTTCTTGGGCAAAAATGGAAGTGTTGAGTCCTCCAAGCAATGATAATGCGTTGAGTTGAATGGGTTCCGGCCGACGAGACAAAGCATCAGCGGCTTTGTTTTCCAATCCCGGTTTATATTCTATCTCGAAATCATAGCCCATCAATTTGGTGATCCATTTCTGATATTCATTTGGGATTACGCGCTGGTCAAGGAGGAAACGCAACGCCTTTTGATCTGTTCGGACGATGAATCGATTTCCCAGCAAATAAGGCCTCCATTTTTGAACAGCCATCACAATCGCCATCAGTTCCCGTTCGTAGACAGCCTTGTGTTGATGAGTTATGGGCAGGGCATGGCTATAGTAGGCGAGTGGCTTTCGGTCTTGCATCAATACGGCCCCCAATCCCGTACCGGATGCGTCGGTTTCCACCACAAAAGACTTGGAGAAGTCAGGAAGGCCAAGAACAGGGACCTCACTCAAAAGCTTCTTCAATGTGTTGAAGGCTACTGTGGCTTCCTCGGTCCAGAAGAAATTGTCTTTCTTGAGTAATTGAGTCAGCGGGAAAGCAACGATGCCATAGTGCTTGACAAACTTTCTGTAATACCTGGTGAGGCCGAGAAATCCACGGAGTTCTTTAATGTTTGTCGGTTGAGGCCATTGAACCATGGCGGCTATCTTCGCAGGGTCGGCTGCCACCCCCTTCCCGGAGACAATATGGCCCAAATACTCAATTTGTGGCACCCCAAAAGAGCATTTCTTTTCATTAGCCACCAATTTGTGAGCCGTGAGGGCGTGGAAAACCAATTTGAGATGGTGCACATGATCTTGCACTGAAGAACTGTAAACCAAAATGTCGTCAAAAAATACTAGGACAAACTTACGTAGGTAAGGCCGCAAGATATCGTTCATCACTGATTGGAACGTGGAAGGGGCGTTGCGTAAACCGAAAGGCATCACCAAGAACTCGTAGTGCCCATCATGAGTTCGAAAAGCGATTTTGTGCACATCGTTGGATCGAACCCGAATTTGATGGTACCCGGACTTTAAGTCAATCTTGGAAAAAATTGTGGCGCCAAACAATTCATCCAAGAGTTCCTCCACTACTGGAATTGGAAACTGATCGGGGACCGTAACCCGGTTGAGCGCTCGATAATCCACGCAAAAACGCCAACTTCCGTCTTTCTTTTTAACGAGAAGAACCGGGCTGGAGAAGGCACTAGAACTGGGTTGGATGATACCTGCCACAAGCATTTCCTGGACCAATTTTTCGATTTCATCCTTCTGATACTGCGGATAACGATAGGGGCGCACATTTCACGGGACCAGCTGACGGTTGCAACTCAATAGCATGGTCTTGTTGCCGTGAAGGAGGAAGTCCCTCAAGAGGTTGAAAAACCTTCTCAAATTCAAGCAACACCTTCCTCACTTCAGGTGGAACCTCTCCGGCCCCCGTAGTGTCCTTAGTAGTCCCCTTCGCGAGGGAGTTTAGTTCAAGAATAACTCCATGCTTCTCCCCCCTTATAATTCGTAGCATTGCCTTAAGAGTTACCTGGGTTCGTTGGAGCCGAGTATCTCCACACAGTTGGACCCGGCGATTCCCTAAAGTGAATGCCATTGATAATTTGGCCCAATTCAGAGTGATGTCCCTCAACGTAGAAAGCCACTGGACCCCCAAAATTATGTCAGCACTACCCAAAGGAATAGGTAAGAAATCCTGAATGACAGTAAAATCTGGAAACACAAGCTCAACTGCCTTGCACACCCCGTAACTAGTTACTTCATCACCATTACCCAAGACAATTCCATACCCCTTCGTGTCCGAGATTGGGAGTTGACAAGCACGAACCAAGTCTAGGGCAATGAAGTTGTGCGTCGCCCCGCTATCCACCAAAGCCACAATCTCTCGCTCGCCCAATCGCCCACGTACCTTGAGGGTCTTTGTATTTGGGGAAGTTAAACCCACGAACGAATTCAAGGATAGCATCACCAAACCCACCCCGTCCGACTCGGTTTCCGGCCCGATGGTATCCACAGCATCCTAAAATTCATGGCCCACCGCTTCAATTTCTTGTACCACGAGGATCTATAATTCTTTTTTCTTGCAACGATGACCCGGCGCGAATTTTTCATCACAACGATAGCATAGCCCCTTCTCCCGTTTGGATTTGAGTTCCGCATCAGAAAGTCGCCGAAATTGCCCGGCGTTTGTGCGATCGCCACTTTTGGTCGCCGATTCTAGGGTTCGCAGAGGATTAGAACGGGTCGAATTGAAGGACACCGTTCGGCTTGACCCTTGGGTTGGCCCAGATGACTTCACTGTGCTGTTCAATCCCCCTAATGTCAATGGTTCTGATGCCTTACAATTTTTATCTTCAAGTAATTGGGCCATTACCATCATCTCTTTGAGCCCATTGGGCTTCATCACCCTTACTTCCTTTCTCAAGTCCTCCTTCAACCCATTGATGAATAGGCTTTCAAGAAGAAACGCAGGGACTCCATCAACCACACCACCCGCCTCCTCAAACCGCCGACGATAATCCCGGACGGTGGTTTCTTGTCGTACCGCTACAAATCGATCAGAGAGGGTACCTTCCAAGGTGGGTCGAAAACGCTGAAGCAACAACGCCTTAAATTCTTCCCAGGTTTGGATGGGTCTTTGTTTCTCTTCCCACAAATGCCAAGCTAAAGCCTCACCCTCAAGGCAAAGGATCGCCGCCTTCAATTTTTCATCGTCCGCTAACCGATTGATCTTAAAATACCGTGCGACCCGGTGTAGCCATCCGTCTGGATTTTCCCCTTCAAAAATCGGCACATCCAACTTACGAAGACGAAGATCGAATACCAGTGCCAACGCATTGGAGAGTTGAGTCGTCTCCTCACTTGACCCCACTGCACTCATTGGTGTTTTCTCCCCTGCCTCCACACCTTTCTCCGGCCCTTTCCCTTTTTCATCGATTCCCATTCTCTGAGCGACAGCTGTCATCCATAGCCTCATTTCCTCCTTGAACGAGGTCATTTCCTTTTTCCACGAGTCTTTATTTTCCTCCACCGTTGAAACTATCCCTGAAATTTGCTGCTCCACAGCTTCTACCCTACTTTCCATCCTAGTAACCATCCCAGAATTCATCGCTCTGATACCAAAATGATAGAACTCTGCTTCTATTATTTATGTATTAGAGCAATTACAGGGTTGAGGGAGATTTGAGAGCTCCCTGATCTCTCCTATCCAAACCTTCAATGAGGCAAAAACTACCAAAAAGATACTCCTCCCTCTACCACAGCAGAACATATATAACTAACTCTCTTCACTGCCCAAACACCCCGTAACAAACTGGGGCCCACAAAACAAAATTCCCTCTTTACCCTACTCATCACTCCTAACCTTTTTCCTACTGTACCTTTTAGTAATTGGGGGTCTATCATATACTTTACTGGCCACACCATGATCTATTACCGAGTGTCCCAAAAAGCATGCAAATTCGAGCAGGTTCCTTGTACTAGAAGCCCATCTTCTATGTCCCTTCATGAAAACTTACTGATTAGGCCCACTAAAGGAAGGTCTCGTCATTTATCTTAGAGTCATTCTTTGAACGGAAGGCTACCTGCAACACTAGCAAACTCTGTTTATTACAATTACAATTACAACTGCAATGATATCCTGCTGAAAATATGACCTCCATATTACTTTCTTGGTAGGAGATTGGCTACTTGAATAAAGATTTATTGATAATAATTAAAGCAAATGAAAACTGACTGCTAACAGGTCTAGGAGAACTGCTGAACCTGCCTGAACACTCCTCATGAAACCTAATCACTTAGAATACTAAAAAGTAAAAACATGCAGATAAGGGAAGAGACAATAACCATGCAACTCCTAGTACCAAGAGAAAGTCATCTGTAAATCTTTTTCTGAATAAAGAATCTAGCACAGAAGCCTAAAGCACTAGGAAACAGAGAAAATCTAAACCCTAACAGCTACAAGAACTCTAACTTCTAACAACATACCTGCTGCATTTTATTTGTTCATTATAGTAATTGCTGTCCTTTTGATTTAGGTTATTTCTGCAGATTCTGGATGTTGTAAGATGCTTGGGTTTCTCCCACGTGAATTAGCTAAGTTTTTGTCTCCTTTGATTGAGAAATGTTGCCTAAGCTTCAAGGTACCTCATTTCTTTGGCCTACATGATAATTTTCATGCATTCAGTATTATGATATGTTTCCAAATAATTTTCTGGTATAATACTCTAATGTGCAAAGGAAAAAATATTCAAATAAGGGAGAGACAAGGGTGACGAAGAAATACAACAAATATTTCTTAGTTGAGATACAAGTTTGAATTTTAATATTAATTACTTCATTATTCTTTCCTAATTCTAACACATTTTTCTTCATGACATGGTAATGAGGGAGAATGCTCTAAATACGAACCTTTGTTGGATGATTTTGAAAATTGAATTGAGGTTTTTCTTCCATGTTCCTTTGCAGTTGGGTGGATTGATAAAATTCACCTTTATTTATTCCCAACGAAGGGTACCTACCTTGGGGAAGATGAAAGAGTTTACCTGCTCAAACTGAAACCACTACCTCACCAAAAATAAATTAGCACAACTCTGATGCCACTTGTAGAATAAATTAGCACAACTCTGATACCACTTGTTCAATAAATTAGTGCATCTCATTTACCAATTGTAGAAGAAATTAGCATAAAATAAAAGAGGCAATCTCTCGAGGAAAGTGTCCAAGTGGACACTCCTTGAGAGAAGACTCTGTCACTCTCTAACTCACTTTCCTCACTTTTCCACTTTCTTCACTAACTTCACTTGATTCACTCACCTGGGGGACATCTCTCCTATTTATAGGAGAAGGGTCCTTGGAGCCCAAGCAAAAGGATCTTTCTAAGCTCTTCTTAAATCTTACAAATCTTACATATTCTAGATGTTTCTTAATCTATTCTTATCCAAAGGAACTCTCTGGAATTCCTTGGAGCCTAAGCTAAGATACTTATGGAGCATCTTTTATATATGTATTTACAACCTTCAAGAATAGTATAGAAAGACTAATACATTAAAGAGAGATATGTAGAGATATGTAGAGATATGTGGAGACTCCAAGAACTTCTAGATAGGTAGTGTTGTATTTTAACAAGTAGTACCAGCCTAAAAAACTTCAATGATGTGCTTGGGCCCAAATAGGATTCTATCGTAATGTTTCCATAAGATTTATGAGTGGAGTTTTCATTTTTTTTTCTTTTTCCGGCAGAAATTTAAGAGTAGAGTGGAACATATTAAACGGACTCTGTTAATTTGGATTAAATGTTTCATTTAGCTAGTGTAATTTGTTGGCTATTATAATTTTGGAAATTATATTCTTTAACTTATCTAGTTTAATTTACATCATAAGTTGCCGCCCGGAAAAGGAGGGGAAAATGAATTTTTCAGACTTCGATTTCTTTCAGGGATTTGTGACTACTACTCCCAGAAGTTCTGTTGACGTTGTGCCCATAGAGATCATGTGTGACAACATCAAATCATTTCATGAAAATAGTTGTGATGTTGAGGAGTTCAAAATTTTGTGGAGAAGTGTTCAGCAAGTAATTGATTCTATGAAGAATTTCACACCTAATGCACTGAAATATCAGAAGAACTTTTGTCTGTTAGTACAAGAAGTTTTACAGTGTTATACCCATTTATTGTCAGATGATGAAAAACATTTTTTAGGTATTTGATCAAATTCATTTATTTTTAGTTATCCAGTTTTTTTCAAGGGTTTTCCTGTCTTTTATGAATTCCTTTTTGGACAGATTTATTCAGTTCACTATCAGATGATAGTCAGAGGCTTTTTATTCGGCTTTATATGCGGAAAGGTTTGGTTTATAATTCTTTCTAGTTTTCTTTATATTCTACCATCGTTTGCAATTTACATTTGATTGAATGTAGTACACAAGGATAGTATGGCTAAATTTTTAGAAGGTTATGAATAACAAGAACTGTTACTAGTAAATAGACTTAGAAGGTCTGGCATGGAATGTTCTAATCCTCTCTGTTAACCTTCTGATTCAGACGTGATAAGAAATAACATGTCAGGGAGCAGCTTGGACTTTTTGAACAAGATACAAACTTTTCAATGTAAAGAAACACAAATGTTTAAAAATATAAACTCCCAAGGTTGTGAAAGAGAAAAATAAACAAAACAATAACAAATACAAGGACATAAGACTAAAAGGGGAGGTACAAAAGCCTCCCAATTTGAAGAAATCAAATTAGGGGAATAATTCTCAAATAAGTTGGAGAGAGCACATCATTGAGAGACTTTGAATTTAGCTATACTGAGGCATTCAAACGAAGATTTGTTTTTTCCTTCAAAAATCCTTTGATTTCTTTCAAAAAGCTTGAACAAAACGACTTTAACCCCATTGTGCCAAAGAAGACTTGCTTTGGAGGCAAAGAATGCCCCAAACAGCAGTGAATTCATATTCCTCTGGACATCAAGGCGAAAAACCCAAAACAGGTTGAATAACTTGCACATTTATCCATATGAAACAGAAGGTTAACAATCTCAAGTTGGGTTTTTGTACTAATAAGATGGCCCTTATTCTGCCAATAATAAAAGTACATTTTTCAATTGGCTGACTTCTATTTTGCAATAGTACCGTGCTAGTGCTAGTGTTGGTAAAAAAAGTTACACAAGAATTTCCGGCCTCTTATAGTATTTTGCTTGTGGATAATTTAATCATTCATTAATGATTTTCTGCTAAGATCAATGAAGATAAATGGAGTAAAGGACCTTTAAGCAAATTAGTATACTTTTTTCATAGTTCTATTTCACCTGCTGTCATATTCGGGAACAGCATTATATCAGTAGTATAATGGTACAGGTACAATTATAAAACAGGATAGCTGCTCACATTTTTCTTCTGGTTCTTGCATGTTAATTCACAAAAAAGAGGTAGATAAGCTGTTGTTTCCTTGTTCTATTGGCACATTTTTCTCTGTGTAATTGCCTCCAATGACATCATCTTACATTTTTTCTATCTTAACTTTCCCTTATAATACTATTTTGTTTCCTTTACTTTCCTTTGTGTCCAAAATATTTATTTCTCGTGTTTTGCTGTTTTGTCCTTAGGACCATGGTTTCGGATGTCTTGTACTTCTTACAAAGAAATATCGGATCCTAAACAGGCAGTCAAAGAGCTCTCAGGTATCTTTTCACCACATACATAATTATCCTTGTAAGTTTTGAAATTGATTTTGGAATCCCCCCCTCCCCCCTCATGGGCCCGCCACTCCCTCCAGATGCAGGTTATCTATGTTGCTTTGATATAAGTGAAGCAGATAACAGTGACATGATCCAGACTTTGAATCTTCTCACTGTCCCTGAGCTACGTGAAGTTATGTGCATGCTGAAGAAGGTTTGTTATTATTAGTGTTCCTTTGCTCTCTAACTCGTTGATTGGTGCATCCTAGTCATAGAAATGGTTGAATGTGTGGCACCATAAATTCAAAACGTTATTTTGTTGTCTACATAGGCCAAGGGGAAACTGGACTCGAGGGTTTAAGATCTTTAGACTTAATTAGAGCAACAATATTGATGTTTTGTGTGTTATCTATTGCTTGTTCCATTTTATGAATTTATGTTAATGTTATCTTTCGAGTAATCCAAACTCCGCCACACAAAGTGATCATCTACAAATGTTGAGTTATTGGAACCATATTTTTTCTGAAAAAGGAAACAAAAACTTTGTTTGATCGTTGAAAAGTTACAAAAAAAAAAAGAAGATAAAAATCTCCATTTAAGCATATTACATTAAAGCACCCCAGTAAAAAGGAAAAGCCTCAAAGAATATTACAAAAACATGCCCCTTTTGGACAAAGGGACCCCCAATCACTCCAGACTACAGGTTCCTCCCAGCTGACACCAAGAAAACTTCAAAAAGAATAGAAAAATGTTTCTCATGAGAAACTCAGTCCACCAAACCTCAAAGAAGAAAAGAGAAAAGAGAAAAAGAGAAGAGTGATCTTTGGAATTTACAAGAACAAGAAGAAGCCGAACTTTAGAATATAAAACTAAACCATGCTAATAATACTCCAAGAAGAATCTTAAACCTTCATTTTGTGAGAGTCCTGTCAAGGGTATAGGGGAATATTAGTTTGTTAGTATGAAGGGGTAGTATGGTAATTAGTATGGTAATTAGTTAGGGTGAGTTGTTATAAATAAGGGTAGTAGGGAGAGGAGAAGGATATCTTGGAGAATAGTATTTTCGTAAGGAACTTGAGAGAGTTCTTTGGAGAGAGATAGCCCTCTCGAAAGGCTATCGGTATTGTAGTTTCTGTTTGAGATTTCAATATAGTGTTCTAGTTAGGTTCTTATATTTGGGATCCTAACACATTTTTCCGAAGCCAAAAAACTCCAAAACCAAAGAAAGAGCCAACTTCAAGATCCCCAGTACACCAAGAAGATAATAAATGCCAATTCTTATTTCCACCAATAAGAAGTTTAAGATCAAACACTTGAAAAGGTGATTGAACTAATTGGAAGAAGTTGGATCGCTTCAGTTTTAAAGTGGTAAATGTAAAGTTTGGGTTTGCTCAGAACTACTATCACGTGGATGTTCGTGTTCCCACAGAGTTATTGCCAAGCTCTCAAATCTGATCTTGTCAAGGCAGTAAACCTAAACAATGTTTTATCTGCTATTTCAGCCAAGTGCTAAACATACAGTTTCCGCCCAGCTCTCTCCCTTTCCTACCAGAAGTTTCTTTGGCTAGACAGAAAGCTATTAGATTCTTTCTAAATAACCATTAGTTGGAAAAACTATGCATAGAATTTTTACAGGACTTAGATTTTTACCATGCTTTTAGCTGATTGAATGTCACCAAGCATGCCGTAACCAAAACTATTCTCGGTATCTCATAAAAGTTTGATAAAATTGACATTTGCTTGTTTGAGCATCTAATTAAAACTCAAGGACACAGTTGTACAAGCTATAGAATAGATCTTGTTCAAGTAAAGTCGTCACTTGTTTGAGCAAACTGCTAATAGGATAGCTAAAAATATTATTTAGGTATTAAGGACATATTAGTAATTATTCAAGGAGTTTGTTGGTAAGAGTTGATTATAAATATAGTGGGTGGAGGGGAGGAAGCTACGCAATAGTTTAGTTAGTTTAGGCTTGAGTGAGAGGGAGGGTTCAATTATCTCAAATTACTTGATAATGATATTTCTAAATTTTCTATATTACCAATATATTTCTCTGGTATCTATCAGCATCTTATGTTTTCTGTATATTATGCTTTCTTGTCTATTTTCCATCCTTCTATTGCTCTCTGGACTTGGATTTTTGCATGTTTTTCTGATGTTTCTCCTACGTCTTTTTCCACTTCTGTTGAGGCCTCAGAATTGCAGTATTGGCGTGAGAAAAGATGATATTGTTGCCTCTCTTTTGTGCTCTTACAAAGATGGACTATGGTATATATGCTTTTATTTTACCAAAATCATTTACATGTTGTAATTAGAAATCTGAAATTTTTCTTTCACATTCTTTCTGCAGTCCACTACTTCCAGATCTAATTTTGGGAGTAACAGGTATCTGCATTAGGATATCATCAAAAGCTGAGTTGCTTATCTGGCGTGCTGAGGTACCTTTATGTTTTTCAATTTTTCATCTTTGGCATAACTCTCATCAGAATGTTTGAGGCTGATCTATTTTTTGACGCAGAATGTCAATTTTGTTGCTTGTGCAGAGGCTTTTCTTCCTCAACGGAGAGCAGGATTTGTCAGCCTTTCTGCTTGTTGATATGGGAATAGTCAAGTATCCAACTTACAGCTGCATAATTTCAGATCAGATTTTCGTGAATCGAAGTGATTTGCTTGCTTATGAAGAGGTCTAATTTGTTCTTATGCTGATTTTCTTTTATCTTTGTGATATTTTGCTGTGTAATGCTTATATGTTATAGGCGATTGAAGTTGCACAACTAATTGATCAAGCTCTTGATGAGAAGGACAACAAAATGGTTATAAGATGTGTATCGATTGCTGACTCTCATGTGAAGCCAAATCAATTTACTACCCGTGAATCAGTTCCACTTTGTTCATGCTTTTCAGCATCATGGATTTTTTCAAAAGTGGTCTCTCTTGGAGTTTCCTTTCTTGAGCGTGAGAATAGGTAAATATACATTACTGCTCCAACCCCATTTTATATATGCATACACATATATAAAAGAATATATGCATACACAGACACCTACATGCATGCACGCAGACATATACAAACATATATTCATGCTCCAGCCTACCATCTTGCCCTTTGTTGTACAGTGTACTTACTTTGACAATGAACATCGGTTGATTACTACATAAAGATTATCAGAAAGGGCTGGACGTAATATCACCATTCATGACCTGAAGTGATTTGGTTTCTGAGAAGCTGTGAGAATGGATAGTATAAGTGCTTATGGACTATGATCCTTAATGCACCTAAGAGGAGAAAAGAGGAAATAGAAAAAATGACATACATCCTTGCCTCAAAAACACAACTTTTCATTTTGACAAGACTCCTTAATGTAATTAGAATATGAACAAATCTGCACTTGACAAGACCCTTATCTGTCCCTCCTTTGTTTTGCGAGAATTTGAGATGCCCCTTGCATCCAACAATGTGGTGGGCTTTTAAGATTTACATATAATCTGATTATATCTCTAACCTTTTCTTCTTTATTCTACTGGTATATTTGTACTCATAAAATCAACATTCATGTATGGTCTTTTATATTGTATTACTACTTATTACTCTTATTAGTGGAAAGTAGGATTCTGCCCTTTTTCATCAACCCTAAGCACCAAAATTTTGACAAGAGCATTATTAGCACTGGACTCTGCCTTCTTTTGACTCTTTTAACCATCCGTGTGATCCAAGCTTCTTTTATCCCTGGACTCTACTCATTTTGCTCCTCACTGATCAGTAATACGAGCAATAAGACTTAGCTTTGCTTCTTTTTGTTTGATTGTCATGAGGCTATTCTATTTAATCAATTTAATGTTGTATTCTTGGAGTAAATTTATAACCTTTTTTATACTTTCAATTTGATAAAGGATGCAGACAAAGCTTTATTGATTGATTGTTGAAAAAATAGTCAAAGCATGCTTTTCTTATATAACTTTGAGAAAAATATGTTCGTGGTAAATAATTATTTCTGTTAATACTTGCATGTAACATCATCATTGAGACTAAAAAGGAACTTGTATTGCTGAGTAGGTACAATGATGCAGTGCTACTACTTAAGCGATTGCTAAATTGTTACACTTGTGATGGAAGAAGAGGATTCTGGACGTTAAGGTTGTCAATTGATTTGGAGCATATGGGCTATCCCAGTGAGAGTCTCTCAGTAGCTGAGAATGGGTTGTTGGATCCATGGGTTCGAGCTGGTTCGAGAATGGCATTGCAAAGGCGTGTCCTTCGCTTAGGAAAACCACCGAGGCGGTGGAAAATCCCTAGTTTTGCTGAGTCTATAAAGAGGAAAATCACAGAGGTATTTTATCATAAATGGCTTCTGTTACTCTGAGATTCTGATATCTTGTTGGATGCTAATGTAGAAGTTGTTGGTTCTGGTATATGTTAGTGAGTAATCGTTGTGCCTTATATTGCAAACAAGTAGGTACACATTCAAGGGCGACCGTTGAACCGTGAAACGGGTATGAAGAGCAGGTTTTATGGAGAAAGTGGTGATCAATGTTCAGTGGAGCAGCTTGCACTCGAGTATTATAGTGGGGAAGGAGGTGGATGGCAAGGTGTTCATTCAGAAAGTGGCATTTGGTTAACCATTTTTGGACTTCTCATGTGGGATGTCATATTTTCCGATGTCCCCAATGTCTTTCGCACAAAATTTCAGGTATGTTTTAGTAAAGCCATTAGCACTAGTCTCTCAAGTTAACAAACATTTCTCTGATGTTCAATTTCTCTTAGAGATGCATCTGAGTTGGTCAGATATATTTGTAGCAGTCTATAAGACCAAAGATTTCCTTGGGCCTTGGTATCCATGTGCTCCAACGGAAGACGACAAAGCTCGAGTCTCATGTACTTCAAATTCTCACTTTACGTGCCATTTCCAAAACCATAGGACAAATGGTTCTGATTCTATAATGGATTGGATACATATGCATGAAGAACATGATGTATTCAACTTACTAAACATTTAATATGGAAAAGCCCCCCACTCTTACGTTAGTCCGAGGAAGACCATTTAACTGTTACAGTTGTAACTTAAAAGGTTTTATAAGTTCAAGATTCGTCTTCTTAGTTGGAGGATCTTTAACATTGGAAAGCTTTTCTTTTGCAGATTGCTCCCCTGGATTTTAGGACAGATAGCTTCTATTTATTGAGACAGAATAGTATAGAATCTCAACTACAGCAAATTCAAGATGGCATGGGTGAAGAGATCCTTATTACGTCTTGGGAATCACACAAGGGAACAGCATGTACTGGAGTTAACTGGGACCAACACTCACTAGCCGAGCTTCGGGCAGCTGTAACATGCATTGGTGGCCCATGTATGGCTTCACTCTGTCGGCATCTCGCACAAGATTATCGAAGCTGGTCAAGTGGAATGCCAGATTTGTTGCTGTGGCGCTTTCATGGTGAATACAGTGGTGAAGCTAAGCTTGTTGAAGTAAAAGGTCCCAGAGACAGACTCTCTGAACAGCAGCGAGCATGGCTATTGCTTCTAATGGAATGTGGCTTCAAAACAGAAGTCTGCAAAATCACCCCCATCCCGAAATCAGCTTAAAAGGTCGATAATCACTAGAACAGGCAAATCAAGGCTTTCTTCAAACCAAGACTACTCGAGAAACAATCGTACCTTTGTTGAGAAATGGTACAAGGATGACTGTCAAAATCCAAGTATTCATAGATACAAATAATGACTCAAAATCTGCCAACTAGTGGGTTGGTTGGAATTCTGGGCAGCAGAAAATGAAGAAATCAAGATCATCCTTAGATCCCCAAGTAAATGCATTGAAAGGTACATGTGTTATGAATAGAAGATGAAGTGGTACCTCCCTAGATTTCAGGACAAAGATTATGAAAAGCTTTCAAGAGCTGAGCTGTATTTGGAGTATAGTTATCCTGGTGCTTTTTTCACCAATTCTCTGTGATAATTACTTAATTATCACTTTGTAGGGAAGCCATAATAGACTTGATTGTTTGAGGATAATATATGAACTATATTTAGGTGCTGAGTGGTTAGCAATCTTCGTGCTATTACAAATTTGATAGTTCATTATTTTTTCTCTCTGTTAGAGTATATATTAGTATATTTTATATTCTTATATTAATATTAATTTGTCTTTTACCTTTTTATAGAATTAGGTCAACCTTGTATATTTGTCTATATATATAGACTTTAATAGTTAGAATACAGGACATTTGATTCTCTCCAACCTTAGTCTCTACATGGTATCAGAGCTTTAGGTTTCTTGCCCATTAGGGTTTTGTGCCCATTCGGGTTTTGATGCCCGTTAGGGTTTTGTGCTCGTTAGGGTTTTGTCCCTTAGGGATTTTTTCATTGCTATCCAACACAAATCACCGCCGCCGACCATCGCTGCTGTCGTCGACAACTGCCGCTGCCATCGACAACAGCCGCCGCCGCCAACCACCACTGCAGTCGTTTGCTGATTTACCAGCTGTTTTCCAATTGCTATTCGTGGAAAACTGCTATTCGTGGGTTTCGTCTCACCGTCCTTCGCATCTTCGTCGTCGTGCGCTTCCGTCACCGCCAATCGCATCTGGTTGTCGTGGGGTAGCACTTGGGGTTTCTGGTTTCAGAAAACACCTACTTCGGTTTGGTTCCAATCGTTTGATTCATCTGTTTTGTTTGGTTCGGGTGGTTTGGTCTGGTTCTGTCGTTTTGTTCAAATAAGTTCGCTTCTTTATTATGGCTGAGAAGAGATCAATCCAAAAATCACAGAACACAAGTTGAATAGATTATTTGTCTAACAAGTTGGGCATGATTAACATATATGCACCTAACAGTATTTTATATGTTTCGCATCTACTTACTTACTTTTGAGGGACATTTAAACCTTGCTTGATTTTCCAAATTACAGCGGAAAAACAAATAACTCCCTCTATTCAATATCATTATGGGGTAAAGAAGGATCAAAAATCATTAAAAAAAACTTTCGTTTCTTCTCATTATTAACAATGAATAATAATGAAAGGTCCTCTTTTTTTTTGGAAAAAAACAACATATCAAATTTTTAGTAATGTAACAAAAATGATGCGCCCTTTTGTTACTATTCCCCATTTTGGTACTAAGAATACTTTTGCGTATCCCTATGAATCAGATAATACTATGYTATTTCCTATGTTTGTGTTATCCCTATTTACTTTGTTTGTTGGAGTCATAGGAATTYCGTTCACTCAATTCAATCAAGAAGCAATTGATTTGGATATATTAGACAAATGGTTAACTCCGTCTATAAACTTTTTACATGAAAGTTCAAAAAACTTGAGGGGGAGTGTTAGAGTATATATTAGTATATTTTATATTCTTATATTAATATTAATTTGTCTTTTACCTTTTTATAGAATTAGGTCAACCTTGTATATTTGTCTATATATATATAGACTTTAATAATGAGAATACAGGACATTGGATTCTCTCCAACCTTAGTCTCTACACTCTCTTTATCAAAAATTTAGTGGTGGTCGGTAAGAGATGAGTCTTGATCAATCAGCATCTATAGACTTATTAGGTAATACTCTCGTTATTATTTTTTGTTTTTTTGTTTCTCGTTTTCAATTTTTTAGAAATACAAGTGTTTGATAACAATCTTTGTTGTTTCTTTAGAAACTAAAATTGTGTAGAAATTTTGAGAACCACTAAATTAAGCTTCTTATTTTTATTTCCCTTAATTAGTTTTTTTCAAATCATAATTAAAGTATTGTTATATCCCTCTTGACTTATATAATAAGTATTAAAAAAATAAAATAACATAAAATTCTTAATATTTAATTTAAAATTTAATTTTTATATGGATATTTAACTTTGTTTGAATTTAAAATTTTTGAAAATGAAAAATAAGAAATAGGTACATTATATTCATCACGGTAGGAATGGGTTCAAGCTTTACCCAGCTCCTTCTCATCAATGGACTCTTGACGTATATGAATTCCTAACTCTCTATCTATCTCTGGGTTTTTCCAACAAAACGAAACACTATTTTGTCTTTATCATTCGGAAGGCTCAGTCCCACACTCTGACTTCAATGATGGGAACAACCTCCGCACTCCAATGAACAACAGTTCTCTGAAACATATATGAAATACTTACTGAACGTGTTTCTATTTCTTACTTCAACAAGGAACAAAAAAGAATAAAAAATAGTTATCAAATGTTCTATTTTTATTTATTAAAAGAAGAGGAAACAAAAACGAAAGTAAAAATGTTACTGTTCGTCGTCTCATTTGAGACCATATCAACATTTTTTCTTGTAATACAACAATGGGTGGAGATTAAACTCACAACCTTTTAGTAGAAGATAATGTCGTGACCAATTAAGTTAAAGTTCAGATTAACAGACCATATCAATAATAATTTTATGATTATATCTCCCTGTTTCTCTACAAACTTTGAGTTTCTGCCTAAATAGTGGACCCTTGTTACGTCAGGAATCAGGACGAGATGAGCTTCTAGTTGTCGGAGAAGTGTTAGCCATTTGAAGTACTTCAACAAAAATAGTTTTTGTTCTTTTAATTAAAAACCAAGGTTTCATGAAGAAAAGGAATCAACCTAGAAAAAGAAAGGAAAGTCAACTACAAACGAGCCAAAACTGAATGAAAATTTATAAGGGAAAACAACCCAAAAGTGACAACTCCACAATTATAGAAACGGAGAAAAAAAAAGGTAAAATGAAATATCAAGAATGGGATTCGAACCCATACCCTTTCGGACTAGTACCTGAAACTGAAACTGGCGCCTTAGACCAACTCGGCCATCTTGACTCGGTGAAATGTAAATTATTCTTTAAATTTATAAATTTTATTTAAACTTTCTCGCTCAATACAAACCCTAGTTTTGTTGAAACTGGCGCCTAAGGGTGTTTCATGACGTCTATTGCGAGAATGTGGTTTGATTGGAATGCTATTGTCTCTGAAGCTGTAAGAAATTGGGAGAATTCGGTAGCTTTTCTTTTCAACACAATGTATTTGGTTATATAGCTGCTTTAATTAACCTGTTTAAAAAAAAAAAATAGGAACTGTTCATATTTCTTCGATGGTTTTTTTGAGAGATGGACAATCAAAGGAATCAGTATTAAAACTGGACTAATATTTGATGTCTCTGATGACAGTTCTCTTTCCACAATATATCCCAAATGTGGTCACCTCGAGGAAGCTCTTTCAGGCTTTTGAAAGGTAAACACGAGAGGGGTCCTCTCACCGTTAAATATTTGACAATTCAGTATTATTTAAAAAAAAAAAAAAAAAAAACTTCTGTTTTGCATTTTTCTTTCTTAATTGTCAAACATTTATTTTTCTTGTTTCTCAACATGGCTATTCAAGAGAGGTCATTCAATTATTTATAGAAATGTTGTTTGAAGAATATGTACCTAATCATATGAGTTTAAGTGCAGTACTAACTGTAGTTCTGTTCATCATTCTATTCAAATAGGTAGAGAAATCCATGGCTACTCAGTTCGTGCAGGACTCGGCAAAGATGAAGCTATTGGCGGTTCGGAGGGTGTTTGAAACATTCCCCCGAAGGATCAAATTGCTTGCTCTTCATTGGTTTTGGGATATGCTCAACACAAGTGCATTCAAGTTGCCTTTCGCTATTTCCATTCATAACCCAAAAATATATGCTTTAACTAATTGAACATGTTCGAGTGAAACATTACAAAAAAGTAATTTGAATATGGAGTATGGAGTTAATTAGGGTGGGAAGAAAGACCTCTTTTTTCGCTATTCCGCGATCTGCTGGTGCGGGAAACTGAAAGAGGGAGAAGAACTTATTAACAGTATGGCAATTGAAGGCTTCTTTCTTGCAGCTTGTAGAGTACATGGAGATATTGAAATTGGGAAAATAGCAGCGAAAAAGGTGATGGAGTTGAAGCCATATGGTACTGGTGCTTTTGTGATGGGTGCAGGAAAGTGTAAAATGCTCTCATAATTTGGTCTCAACTTGTTACTTGTGTTCAAGTTTTAAAGTCATGTCGTGAAGCAAATGACCAAGTTTTCTTAAGTTTAACCGTAGCCATTTGTTTGGATTGAAATATGTTTGAAGTTCTGAATATGAACCTTCACATTGTCCAATAATCATTCAATACAGAATTTCAAGTAGACTCTGATAAACCTATAATTGCAAGTGAGAGATAGAGAGACTAAGGATGGAGAGGAGGTGAGAAGAGAGAATTTTAATCCAATTTTTCCATGTCAATGGAAAATATAATTCCAAATTAAAAAACTGTCACATATCTACATAAAACTCCAACATCATAACGGTAATTTATCTTTGAAACCTAAAAACCAAATAGAATCATAATCCAAAATTTCAGGGACTACAAGTAAACTTTGCCCAAATTTATATCTGAATAAAAGGATATTAACAAAAGTTAAACCTAACTAAAGATCAAATCTCCCCAAGATCACTCAGCACCTATAGAAATTCTTCTATTCCATGAATTCCCCAAGCCAAATGCTCTGCAAAACAGACGAAAAAACCTGCATAACAAGGAGCTATCCCGGTGCTACTAACTCGGTAATACCGCGCAGTTTGGACAACTCTCTAGACTAGTAACAATTGAATTTGGCAGATTGAGTTTCGTCAAGAAAACTATACTGAAAAAAGTTATGTACAGCAAATCAGTTGTCATTTTTTGTTTTGATACATTTCCAAATCTTTTTCTTTTTCTTCCATCTCAATACTGCCAATTTCTGTGATTTCCATTTTCGATATCTTTGTTTATTCTTCATCCACTGCAAATAATCCTTCCCACGCTTGCACTCTACAAAGTCTGCTATATCGTCATAAGATGAAGAGTCCTTGGAGTCTTCTAGCAAACATTTTAGAAATATCTCCCCGCTGCAAGTTTCTTCTGCCTCCTCTACACCAACAGTACATTCCCTTAGACTATTATGGATGGGAGGGGTTTCCACGGATTGCCCCAAATCATCGCGTATTCTTTGATGGCAGCTTGTGAGAGAATCCGTGCTGCAAGATAAAGGTTGAAAAAATTTATCATGGTAAAATATGGTCAAAACATTCCATTCCAGCCAGATCTTCCTGACATGGTAACGTCACAAAAATGAAGGATTTCCCAACTGAAAAAATACAAGCAGCAACCAGTGCTGTCTAATAAGAAATACAACTTAAACATCTTACAACAAAGCTAATGGTACAGAGGAGAACAATTTAATCCAGTCAGCTGCAGACTTCAGGTTTTCAATTTAACGTTTTTCTCATTTCATGCTTGTGCAATGTCAAGAAGATAAAAGTTTGAAATATTCTTTAGGCCATGGAAACTCTCTATTGAAGAAAACCAACAATGAAAGAGAGATAAGGAAGCAAAAACAAGTATGTAAAAGAGAGCTTCATAGACTTTGCAATTAAAGGTCAAAACAGTTTAACCCATTTTCATAAAGAGATGGGACTGAATTCAGATACCCATTGACAGAATTATATGAAAAACAAAGTAAAATGAACCCAAAAGATGAGAAAGTTTCATTTTGTTGATATGTGAAAATTTGCAAAGATATTTTAAAAAGTGCCTCCTACCTCATGTGAATTGTCTGAACCTTTTGAAACTTCATTGCAACTGTTTCACCATATTTTAGGTGTAGCAAGCCCTGTAGGATATGTCAATAATTAAAAGCAGTAATTCAAAGTAATAATAAAATAGAAGAAAAATTAAATAGCACAGCAAACAAAGTCATTAAAAATAAAATAAAACGTACCTCTTCAGCTGTCTCAGAGCCAATTAATGATGATAATGCATCTAAATCTCCCTCTTCAAAAACAAACAAATTCAATGTTGTCATAATTGCAAGTACACAGTCTTTCACTAAGAAGTCAAACCCTCTCGTAAAGCTTAACGCCAGTAGTCCTGTAAAATGCAGGAACATCCACTTGGAATTCTTATGCCTCTTTGGGTGAGATTTCATCACTTTAGATATGAGATTCTGATTTGGTAGGGAAATATCAAATTCTTGAAAACAGTTGATGATGCTCAAAATAAAACCATACTCCTTACAAGATGAAACATCTCGTAAGATTTTAAGGCCACCAGAGTTTCTACAGTGCCTTAGACACCAAATAACAGGCAACATTGATGAACTCATCAACTTCAATATAGAAGCAAGAAGATATATGTCATGGTGACTTGTATACCCAGTCTTGTAAATTTCGATGTCATGAACATCATCCTGAGAAGCTCCAAGAATTATACAATGTAAGATTGACAAAAGATCATCTTTATGTGATTCATCAAGAATATGTTGGTTCTCCACTACATACGAAATCGATAAGGCTAGAAGTTCTGATTTTTCCCTCAAAAGCAAACAAGTGTTCTCATACTTGGAAGTAAGATTGTCAATTTGTTCTCTCCTAACCTTTTGAATGTAAGATTCAAAAGGTTGCTGACCACTATTCCGAGGCACACCTGAACTGGAAAAACAGCCATTGGAATTAAATGGAGCATCTTCCGCATGTGAATTAGACATATGTCTATTATACAACGTGATTGCCGTCTCAAATGCTACAAGGTACCAGTCCATAAGCCTATGATCTGGGTTTGGGGATTTCAAGAATACACCGATGCCAATGACTTCAGAAACGAGTGAAATAAAATGAGCTTGGAACAATTTTGGTGCAGATAGCATGACAGGATTCATATGCAATGATAAAGCAGTTGTCAGGCTTAATTCAGGAACTCTCAAATCCTCATAGTGTGCCCAACATAGTCTATTGAGGAAATTATGAAATGCCTGCTCATCAGAAACTGACAGGATGAAATGAGCAGAAATCACCTCCAGCACCGTCCCGATTCCACCATGAACTAAGTTGTGCATAAATACCATTTTAGTAGTAGAAGATGCAGAATCTACCAGCATAAAGTATTCTCTCAGTGATCTATGCATTAGAAGCTCATCCACAAATACCTAAGAATTATTAGTCCAAATTAAGTTTTATTATTTATTACCAACCCCTAAATGAAAAAAAAAATTGAGTCTACAAATTAACACATGAAGTTTACCACAACAAGGTGAACATTGTATGCCAGACAATCATGAGCTGCTGAAACCCACTAAGAATCAAAATGATATGATGTGAACATACAGAGATTTTCAAGATGAATGGTGGGCGAAGACAGACAACATCAGAGCTCAGAGAGCATAAGTGATGATTCCCTTAACTGGTCATAGCAGCCCAATCTTTTGATCAAGGAAATTTTCCATTCACATAAAAATTCTAAAGCACGCCAACAAGTTGATTATCCAGCCAAAGAAATTCTTGATAAATAATAATTGTGAACTAAATGATAAAATTTGGCAAAACACAACATTTCTTTACGTGAGTACGTGCATACGAGTTACTTAAAAAATGCCTACAACATTGAGATCCAATTGGTAAAGATAACAAAATATCAAATCTTTTCAGATCATGGTAATCGATAGACAACTTATCCAAAAACAAATTCATGCAAGGGAGAAAAGGTGAAAATGCAGTAAAAAGGAGGGAAAGAATAATAAGTTCAAAAAGAGCAGGGAAATCCTGTAAGAACCTCAAGGACTGCACATATGAATGGATGGCATGGATCGGAGGGTTCTAAAATACACAAGGAAGCAACAACATCCTCAGAGACAAAGGTAGTACAATCAGATTTAGTGATTCTGCATTCGTGTAAAAAAGATTTCTCCAAACTGATGGACTCTTTCTCATCCTTTCCACTTGTAATCAAATCTAGCAATTTCCTGACTACTGAAAGAAGAACACCGCCCTTTTCCAGTAGAACATTTTGTTCGAAAGCAACCAGAGTCAAGATAACCAAACAACTTCTTAAGAGCAAGATAAACTCTTTAATGGTGTCCCACAAATCATTATCTCTACGAGCAAGTTCAGGAGAACGGCTGAACGAAATACTTCTCAAATCATGGAAAACTCGCTTGAAGCTCAAATCAAGTTCTTTGAACAAAAAATCTGCCAGACCACAAAAGTCCCCAAAACTTCCCTCGAATCCCAACCGATTAATTTCTTTGTTTAACTCAATGAACGAAGCTTCAGTTGTAGAAAAATCCAGCGGTTCACTTAAAGAAAATTGAAGCAGGAGGCAATACAAACGTTTCATGATGTTGGGAATTATAGACCCTGACGCAACAAAATGTGAGAAATAGATGAGTACAATCATAGTTTTCAAACTCAAAATTCAAGTATTAAACAAAACGGAAATACAAACAAGAAAACCAACATACTTGAAATGTTATTGCATTTCTTGAGTAGAGTAAAAATACCAGAATTTGGAAAAAACTTGTGGAATTCTGTACAGCGATAAGAGGGAGGTTTTTTCTTTGTTTCTTTGACACAAACGGAGCCACCGCATACTATGGGGAAGACCGCGATAGTGTGGGTTGGTACTTCCGATACGGCGGAGGCAGTGGAGGATGTCCGGCGGGCTCCGACATGTTCGCCGGAACTCCGGTCAGCAACCCCTCGCCGGAGAGAGCTATTGGAGTTATGGGAATTTTCTCAAGTGACGAGAATCGACGGGAATCGACGGGGAGGGAGGAGTGAGAGAGAGTGTGGAAATATTAAATCAATAATTCTTTTGTTTATATTAATAAATAAAATTATTAAATGCCAAACCGAGCATACATTATACTTTTTTTCCGATGATTTTGTTCTCAACCTGATGTATTGTACTAAAAAAATATATTAAACACTACGTTCATTGATTTGGTTTCAATATTTTAATTTATACTTTTAATTTTGATTTATTTTAGTTTTTATATTTTTAAAATATCTATTTTTCATCTATATTTTTTGTCAATTCGCTTCACGCGCAGGAAGGCAACGAAAAGAGGTCAAGTCGATAGGACTTACTCGAACAATCGGATTGCTTTCATTTTTTTTAATCTCATTTTTTAAATCACAATTTCGACGCGACATTATACTTAGAGATGGACAATGAAGCTGGGAGACAATCCACATTCGCGCTCCGGTAGGAATTTTTCCTCCATCTCTGCTTCTGTCTATGCAACTTTGGGTGGAGACAATATACTTATTAATAATATTGTGAATGTTAAAATTGGTCTATGATATACTTGACATGGTAGTTATTAATAGAAATTTAAATGATAACTAAATTTAAATGATAACTAAACTACCTATAAGATGGTATGCTTGAATAAAAGAAGTGTTAGGAGAGATTTGCATTTTGGCGTCCTAGACCATATAAAATTTTCTCTGGACGCATAGAAGAAGCGTCAGAAGATACCTACTTCTCTCCATGCTTCTTTTATATGAGTCGAGAGAAAATTGGAAGAGAAACAAAATTGTCGGAAGAGAGCTACTTCTCCCGACAAAAAAACAAAAGCGTCAGGAGAAGTAGGTACCCTACCCAAATTCTCTCGCGTTCGAGCTCGAGGACGAAGAAAAGAGATAGGATGAACATTTTCTTTTTTCTATCCATCCAGAAGGATGCCTCTCTAACAACTATTCATCTGCAAAGATCTCGCCCAAATAGAGAAGTGAATCTAAAGGCCAAAGAGTGATCTTTGAACGCTACTACGCATCCTTCAAAATAGTCTCGTGTAAGGTAGGTTTGGGTATAGCAAGACTTGAACCTACAACCATTAGGTTAAAAGCTCAATGCTCTACCAACTGAGCTATACACCCAAAAAAAGTAAAATAGGTGGTGGATGAGGATTGATGCAGAAAAGAAAAGAGGGCGGCCCCTCTTCTTCTCATCATATTAAAGGGGCGCGGCTCTGTATGAGGCTCGTACTGCAGAGCAAGCGAAGAAAACGTAAGGGTGCGCGTTAGCACTCCTACAAGAAAACGGCCTCGCTAACGCGCCCCTTATTGAAAACTCAAGGAAAGCCTTTCTCGATATGAGAAAGATGCGCTCAAGCACCCAACCTATACAAGGGGCTTGGGCTCGAAAGCCGGCCTTACTCAAAAAAAGTGTCGGGAGATACCTACTTCTCCCGACACTTGTTTTTTCACCGGGAGAAGTAGTTCTCTCTCGACTTCTCCCAATGATTTTGTTTCCGTTGGAAGAGGTATCTTTGGCTAACGCCTTTTTGTTCATCAGGCAGAAAAAACCTCGACAAAGCCAATTATCCTTGTAGTGTACTGATGACATGGTACTTGTATTTTTCATATTTCGTAAATTGATCAAATTGATAGAAAGAGAACTAAAATCTATCTATATACACACTTGGAAAATTGGACACTGAATTCACCTCCACTTTATTCATGAATAAAAACACTTTAAATACATTACACAGACGTGAGAGAAAAGATCAATTCACACCAAATTGACCTTCACATTATTTAATAGACCACACAACTCAAAAAGCAATCATTTTGCAGAAAACACATCTTTAAGGAAACAGTTCACTGCAAATCTTGTGGAGGCCAGGGAGAGAGATTGCCTGCACACCAATCAGTACGAACCACTGCTGATTTTCTAATGTGACGTATTTTTATAAGTCTATTTTTCTATTGCATCTAACGGATAAATGTAAATCCAATAAAAATACGTCGTATAAGAAAGTTAGTAAGATTTCTGCTCACCGACCAGTGTGCAGGCAAGTATTTTTCGTATTAGTGACAAATTCATTCTACCCGAGGAGGAGGACCAGGAAAGAGCACGCAAACGCACTCAGGCCCACAATAAGGGATGTCGCATGGTCCACTGTAACTGTTGGCTGCTTTGCCTTTTAAAAATTTTCTTGACCCGCCATTGAAGTACTCTATAACTTGATTTCTGCCATCGGAGATGAGTTCTTGAATTGCCACAGTTTCAATGGCGGAAGTGGCTGATTGGACTGAACAACTCATGAGCATCACCGCTATTGCCACCACCAAAACCACATTTTTCCCCTCCATATTCTCTCTCTCTTTCTTATATTTCTTACCCTTCTCCTCAAATTGCTTGCTTTTGCTTTTAGCTTTGGTGCTAGGACGACTCTATTTATAGAAGATGATCGTGTTGATTGAATCGTCGATGATTGTTCGTTGTAGGGTGTGTTTGGAAGTGATTTTGTCCTCATCAAAATATCTTTTGTCGTTGTCAAAATCACTTCGCTTTCGATTCGATCATGTTTGATAAATTAAAAAGAAAGTTAATTTTAGGAAATTTTGAATTGATTTTTAAATGATCGTTTGGACGGTGATAATTTCTTTTTTCAAAATCACTAGTTCTATCATCACTCTCAAACACACTCTTAATTATAATTTCATAGTCCCACCATTCTTTCTCTCATAGGTTTAAATACTATTTTAGTTTCTATACTTTTACTTATGTTTTATTTTTATCTCCAGTATATACAATGAAAATTCTTTGATACAACATTACCACTATATTTTAAAAAACTATTGAATGTAGTGTTGTGCTTAAACGCAAGAGCGTTTAATAAATTTCTGAACTTTTAATTTTTTGTCTAATAGGTCTCGTAGTCTATTAATATTTTTTTAAATTCATATACCTATTTATTAAACACCAAATTAAAAGTCAAAAGTCTGGATAATTAACACAAAGCTCAGCAACTTTTTTAATACAAAAGTAAAATTTCAGTGACCTACTGAACATAATCCTCAGAGTTCAAAAACAAAAACTTGTAATTTAACGGAAGATTTTTAACAGTTGCTTGGACGTTGCATTCCAAGCCAAAGCACAAATGAAGGGTGAACTACTTTAGAGCACGTGTTTAATAGAGAGTGGGCCAACTTTTAATACAAAATAAATTAGTGGATAATGGCACAACTTTTAATAAAAGATATGATAAAGATCTTATATCTAGAAACTGCCTCCAATTATTTAAGATACGATCCAATGAAAGTCTCATGTTTGAAGCGTGACCACACCCAATTGCTTAAGTTGGCCGCACTCGCGCGGACCCTCACGGAGAGAGAGTGAAAGGTGTGGACAACGGGTGCGATCGCTGCAGCCATGCCTACCATGTGGGTTGCACACGAACACGACCCGTCAAAGAATGGGGTGCACCTGCTACCTGGCTCACATGCAAACATGGCCCTTCAAGGAAGGAGGGGTGCGACCACAAGCACACCCCCTCAAGATATTTATAACATGATGCTTGTACGTCAAGCATCATCACCTCACCACTCACGTCGGGTTGAGTATTAAAAACATTTTAGTAACCTTTAACAAAATTAAAATGTAGGAACATATGCTAACCTGAGCAGAGTTCACCTGGTTATGTCACTTATCTCTTGACTAAAAGTTGTGAGTTTGAATCCTCATCCCACATGTTGTACTAAAAAATAAATAATGCATAAACATACAAAACATGATTATGATATCACAAAACGTTAAAATCTTTAAAACTTTTTAATGGAATTGAAATTGCACAGTTCAAGTAGAACAGTTAATCTATCTCGAAATTTGACTATCACTAATGTTATGCTAGATTGGTTTTGTGCCAGAACTAGAACCAACATCAACTAAGATGGTAGCGGTACTCAATCAAATAGAGTAGAGATGAAACAAATGAAGTATGTTTCATGATAATATAATCATGTTCAGGGCAACACTCTCACAAGAAATATATTTGTGCTTGGACATCGAGCACTATAACTAAAACAATCGATGGCATAACAAAGCGTGTCTGATAGATATCAATCAAAGCATAGCTCATCAGGTTAAAGCACATGTATCCAACCATAATTTTAAAAATTAAATATAAATTTATAATATTTTGTAATAAAATCACATCAACTAATAAAAATGGCATATATATATATATATATAAATTTTTTTCTTTTTAGTACAACATGTGGGGTTTGGGAAAGTATAAATTTTTATTAAAATAAAAATGATTAGTTGTATAAATAAAAAAAGAAATATTAAAAGTATATAATAATTAATTAAGAAAGTTATAGGTCTCATTAATATAATGAGACTGAGAGAGTGTAAAAGTAGAAAATAATTGCAATAAATGTATGAGACCCATGAAATAAGGATGATAATGAGATTGATTAGGGTGTAGAAGATAAATCAAATTGCTCCTATCTGAGAAATGAGAATGAAAAATTGAGTGGATTCTCCCGTTGGTAAAAACCATGAAAGAAAATGAAAAAATTGATACTCATCCCTTCATTCATTCTCGTTCCCTTGAAATAAACATGGCCTAAATAATCTCCTCTAAGCCTATAATTGACTAATGAAAAATTAGTAGTGATTAAATTGATGACTATACTTTGTTGATTGGACAACAATATTAATTTAATAATATTTTTTTATGGCTGGATTTCTTCTCTCCTTCAAGTTGAAATGTATCTACACATATCAATACTTAGCTAATTTGGCAAAAATATCAATTTAATAATAATTAATTTGATCTCATTCAAGTTGAAATCTATCTACAAAAATCTTATCAATACATTCCAATTTCAAACAAAACTAATATGTGAAATTAATTAAACATGCAATTTAAATATGAAAAATAACAAAATGAGATCACATGAGGGTGAATAATTTAAAAAAGAGAGAGAACAAAACAGATCCACAGATAGATGAATTAGTGTGCAATGTGACAGCATAATTCATATGAAAATTAATCTTCCATGTCGTCGGAAATGGCACAGTGGCAAGCGCTTAGGACTTTGGGGTATTATCTACATTAAGGTCTTACACCAAGCCTCATTTATAGGAATTCACTCATATAAGCCATATGACATAGATTCCGAAAAAGAAAAAAAGAAAAAAAATTGATCATTCCTAATTATTCCACCTTATGCATTTCAGCACAGTTGAAACGAGAGAAAATTGGTAAAGAAAATTGCAATCCATGTTGAAAGGAGAGAGAAAATTAGTAAATACAACTTCAAACTTTCTTATGGATGTTGAGCTCGATAGAGTACAGCAAAATTAATGATATGATTCACTCGGAAATGAGAAAAAAAAAAAAGCATTTACATTAAACAGAAATTTAGAGTGCTGTAAAGGATGGGTGAGTCTACCTTTTCTTATGTGTCTTTGTCTGTTCCCTCCTCCCCTTTTCAAGAAAAATCAATTCTAAAAATCAATTCCTTTATACAGAGAAAAGGAAACTTGACGAGAGGAAACTCCAGGGGAAGAATGAGAGGATGAGAGACATGAAAAGAAATCGACGGTAAGAAGGGAGAACTCAGAGCAAGAAAATGAGAAATCGTTAGGAGAGAGGAAAAAGGTGAGGTAGAATGATTGAGTGGGGGAGAGAAGGAAAGAAAAAAATAGATGTCGAAAGATTTAGGCGAACTATTGTTGAATTTTGAATTTGAATTTATTATTTCAAATTTCCAACTAGGAGAGATACGAAAGAAAAATGAGAAAAAACAAAACAAAACAAAAGGCCGGAGCAAATAAGGTGCCCACGATATCCCAACTTAAAGATATCAAATGGTTGAAGATTCAAATCCCCACCCCATGGCGTTAGAACTTAAAAAAAAAAATAGCGACTTCACTAAATTTCCACCTCTACGTTATTAATTTAGTTTAATATACTCATGAAGAAAGCATATTCAACTTCAATACAATACAGGCAGGGAACAAACCTTATTGATTAAGAAGCGTTTAGGTATTAAAATAACCATTCACAACCATGACGAGAGAGTCTGATTGTTCATTTTTTTCTAATAATGTCTTGCAAAAAAAGTCCCTCCATTGAATGGGACTTGGGAGAAGACTACAAGCCTTCTCTGCCAGTTCCTGCATATCTAGCTTGTCATAACAATAAAAGCAAGGTTAAATTACAAATATGGTTTTTAAGGGTTGGGCATAGCGTCAATTTAGTACCTATAATTCTAAAAGTTTCAATTTAGTCCCTACAATTTTAAGTCTCTAAAATTTTAAAAGTTCCGATTTGATTCAACTGGCCAAATCATCCCTAAACTATCTTTTACCCACCCCAAAACCAACTTAGTTTCCTTCTATTTTAACTCAACCTTAAACTCCTAATATAGTGAACTAATACAATTAGCTAAATAGAAAATATCTCATTGACCATAAAATATCCAAATTGAAACTAAATCTAGGGATTAAATTCGAACTTTTAGAACTACAGAGACCCAATCAAAACTACTCTCAAACCATGAGTAACACTAAAACTGTAATTTAACCTAAAATCAAAGGAAAATGCTACAAATAGATTAGAAGAGTTCAATTATGTTTCGTCATCCAGGTTAGCATAATGATAGGAGTTTAGGAACCAAATACTTAAATATATTGAAACTTAAAAGACAGAAGAACAACAATAACTCTAAGTAATTTAGCATAATGATAGGAATTTAGGAACCAAATACTTAAATATCAATTTAGCAAAATGATAGGAATTTAGGAACCAAATACTTAAATAGATTGAAAGATAGAAGAACAACAATAACTCTAAGTAATTTAAGGTACTTGGGCGTTCCCTCTCTTGAACAATTGCCCGGCCCCTACCTTCATTTCTTCCTCCTCACTCTTATTTATAACGATTCCATACTGACCAATACCTTTTAACTAATTACTAATATATCCTTTACTATTCTATTAATATCCTTAATTATCCCAAAATAATTCTTATCATATAATTTACAAAGGGAGTCTAGAAGCCAACAACATCATATCTCTAATCTACTTAATTCACACCTTAGGTTTTAATCATGTCAGAATGTTTTGACTCGTCCTCTGTGTTGAAGAATAATAATGGGATTCAAGCTCCTTCAGGCTGGTAGCAGCTTCTTCACCAATTCTAGATAAGAGACGATCGGTCTGCTCTGCCTGCTGGTTGAATTCCACAATTCTTTGCTCCACATGATCGTTTAGTGAAGCAAATCCTGAAAAGATTGCTGTCTGCTTAAGTTCTGACACCAACTTAAGCAGAGAATCAGCTGCCTGAACCTATTTAGAGACAAGTAGAAAAACACTGAAATAGTAGCCATAATGGAAACAACTTGCTTGCCATTCAGAGAGCTATCGTCTATGTGAAGCTGATAAGGACAGAAAGTTTAAAATCCCGATTTTTTATTGGGTATGATCTTATGTGTGAATATCAGAAGCCTTGAAAATTTGAAACTAGAAATTAAAATTACGACAAAGCCCTCATCTATCTAAGCAGAGGTTGCAAGGTCACTAAATTCCTCGATAAGATGATAATCTAAGAAGCACGGATAAGACACGGAAAAGACACGTTTATTAAAATATACAATTTTTTAGGTATATATCATTTCCATACTAGAAGGAAATCCAAAGTCAATAAACTTATGCATTTTTATGTTTAAAAAAATGCATATAAAAAAATGAATTTGATGTATTTTATTCTCAAAATTTATTATTTTGTCTTAGTATAACTATTTATGTATATTTCTTATACATAAGAAAAATGTCTATTTCTTATGCAGAAGAAAATGTATATTTCTTAAGCTTAAGAAAATGTCTATTTCTTAGGCTTAACAAGTGTTGATATCGAATCTATATTCACTTTGTACAACTAGTACGACACAGCTAAAAAGTGTTGGATTAAGAAAATGTCTATTTCTTATGCATAAGAAAATGTCTATTTCTTAGGCTTAACAAGTGTTTGATATCGAATCTATATTCACTTTGTACACCTAGTAAGTGTTGGATTACTCAAAATGAAGTGTTTATGCTCCTCAGATGATAATCACTCAATTATAGAACAAATAAGAGATGTATCTAGAGGTCAAAGGGACCTTCACAAAAGCCGGAAGTAAATAAGGGAAAACTTCTTACCATTCTGGCGGCACGCATTTCCATCATGAAGGATTCCTGTGAATTTCTAACAGGTGGATCGTTCACCTGAGGAAACAAGAATGGGTAAGTTTAATTTGGAATTCCAAGCATGTGACGGTTCAATCAAGAATTAGAAGGCAAACTTGGTTATTTCCATGAATCAAAATTTATATTCCAACTGGTAGAATGAGATTTAGATGTAATTGAGAAAATAATGAACATAAGCAAAGCAAGTAATTAAATTAAGAGCAAAGAGAAGAGAAAGAAAAGAAAAGAGGAGTACCCTAGAGACGTTGACAAGGTGAGTAAAATTGTCGACAATGTTGGCTATATCGGTTTCAACTCTCTGGAGAAGCACTTTCTGCTTCTGAGCTGCCGCCGCCGCAGCAGCCGCCGTGGGCCCATTCCCACCGCCAACGCCTTTATTCATAATAATACAAATGGAAATGGCAACGAAACCCTAAATACTCTTCCCCTCCCTCCTCAAAGCTCCCTAATTGGTCTTCTTTTGCAGATCTGAGGTCGTGGTGTGGGTTCGCCGCCGGTAAGCTGCTGCCGGCGGATCGACGGTCTGGCTCGTGAGTCCGTCGGAGCGAGAGTAACGTAAGGTGGCTAATGGGTGGAGGTAGGTTTCGTACTTTCCTTTCCACTTTTCTTCCCTTTTTTTTCCTATTTCTAAAACTCTAATTAATTAATCATCTAAAAAAATCATAATTAAATCTTCAAAATATTTTTTTAACGAAAATTTTCACACTTGGCGATAATTAATGTATATCTCCCGTGAAAGAGCTAAAAAACGAAAAATTTTCACCTTCCAACTTCGACCATTTTTTTAATCAATTTATCGAAAAAAAATCATTAACCTTGTTATTATTATTTTATGTCAATCCAAACATAACTCAATTACCATCTCAATGAATACCATTGCAAGAAGTAACTAACTCAATTACCATCTCAATGAATATCATTGCAAGAAGTAGCTAAAGACAATTTGACTTAATGAAATGAGATTGATTAGATTTTTTATATGAATAAGATTATTTCGACGTCTGAACCGAGAAAACGAAGATTTCATTGAAGTCTGTTGAGGTATTGAGGAAGCCAAGTAGCTTGCGATTGAAGCTGGAGTGTCCATGATTAAGACGTTGGAAGATATGGCAACGGAGCTGCACGTGAGCTCGCACGATTAGCATTGGAGAAGGAGACCTTGAATCTATGGGTCTCATGCCTACTAGAGCTATTGGCTTTTTTTCATTTGTTTTGATAGTTCATGATGAATAAATTTTTTTTTTTTTTGGATTGATTTTCAAATTTGTGGTAAATTTTACGAATTAATTTCATTCCTACATTTTAGTAAAGGGATCATGAAATTTGAGGTAAAAATTATTCAACGTGCATTGATTGATTTTATTGATTTAGATCAGCTTCATCAAAGTGTATAAGTCCAAAGGCGAAGTAAAGTTATACTATTAGTAACCCCAATCCATTTTTTAGGTTAAGCTAGCCCATAAACTAGCCATAGGTCGATTCATTGGGCTAATAACAAAATTGAAGTATAAAAATTTGAAGAATCATCTTCTTTCGGAAAAATATTTTTCCCATTGTCCTATCATCGTTAGGAGTGTTGAGGGCTCTCTACCAGACAAGCACATACTTCTTTTCCGGTGTGCCTACCTACCTCCGATTGGTCCTTGCTTCCACATGGTGCTGCATGGGTAATCCAAGCTTATGCTCAATTACTCACCCATGAGGATATTCATTATACTTGGTTAGATCAATCCAAATGATTCATGCCCAATCCTAAGAAAAAAAATGAGAGTAGTCTTCAGCAAGGAGAAAATCACGTTAAGCTTTGACACACATGTAACATCTTTATTTCAAAATCTATATCCATTGATTTTCCCTCTTTCATTGACTTTCCCTCTTTTTCCATCTTTATTTCTATCAACATCTAAAATAGATAATCTAAATCCATATATTTCCATTTCTTTTATTTCCTCCTACGATTTTATTGACTTTCCACGTGACTCACCCGATTCACTTTTAGGCACAACTCACCTCTAAGTGATAGGAACGATGTAAAGATATGTGTGTTATATTGAATATATGAGCCATAGTTATATTATGTTATATATTAGTATGTAAAATATGTAGTATATAGGGGTGAGAAAAGTTTTCGAGATCCGACCGACCCACTCAATTTGATAAACCGTTGGGTCGGAGTCGACTTTGTAGACGTTAATGTCTTCATTAACCACCTTAAATGTTCATTTAAGGCGTGGGAAATTCGATCTTTCGTAAATGTATTCAAACGACCTTAAATGATAAATAGAAAATTGGAATAATGAATATAGATGGTTAAAAAATAACGGAGGGCAATTTAGGAATTGAAATATCAAAATATTAAACTTGGAAATTTAAATCTAAAAGTTTGTACAAAAATAGACATTTATGAAATATATAAGTCGAAAACCAACCACTAAGCATAATTGGTGTAAAAATTAAGTCTCTAACACAATACAAAGATATGAGATGTATATGTCCATACAAGTGTTCTCGCTGTGTGAACTATGTTTCATGAGATTTATATTAGAATTATTTGTTAGTTTTTGTTTCTTCATAACATATTTAAGCACATAAGATATATGTTGCAGGAATGAAGTATCGCGAGGAAACGAAACATAATTTGATCAAATTGAGAGAAAAATCAGAGTCAAAGTGACTAAGAAAGAGTACGCAACAAAGATTGAAGCCTAAAACCTGATGAGATAGCATTGAGACACTGTCTATAGCGTCTCTGAAGGGATGTGAATCCCAGAGCGGAAACGGATTTTCGTTGCTGATTTTCGGGATAAAAAATCGAATTACAACGTAGGAAAATACAGAGGAAACAAGAACGTTTCTTCAACGAGTTTCCCTCGAACACCACCACTATGTCTTCCTCGCTATCCTCTTGGGTCTCGGGATCGTGCTTGTGGTAGCACCTTGATCGAAGAGAGGGAGAGATTGAGAGAGTTTTTTTTTAGAGAAATTGGATGGGAGTTCTTTTTCTTGTTCTGTATCTTACTTCTTCTTCTGCTTCTCCAACACTTGGAGAGGAAGAATAAGAGTGACGATTAATCAAATTAATTAATATAATTAATTATTAATCCAATTAATAATTAATAAATATAAATATAYATAAATAATTAACACTTAATTATTTATAAAATTAGAATCATATTCTAAAACATTTCTCTCGTATAACCTATAGTTCTAATGTACATCTTATGCACATTATTTTTAACCTATAGTTTTAATATGAATCTTATTCATATTAAT